GGTTTAAAAGGAAAGGACATGATTCCCTCCATTTGTGCTGGGCACCATTACCACAGATACTATGACCATAGAGCTCACCCATAGCTTTCACACACACGTACAGTGGTACAGAATTCACCTTTTCTTCATATTAATACTTGCATTTGATAACGTGCCTTACTATGTTGTTGAGACGCCTTATAGCGCTTCACTGAATTTTACTATGAAGTGCATTGACTGAATACATAATTGCTTCGCCGAGTCACTTACAATAAGAGAATGGACACCCTTTGGGATCTTTAAGGATTTCTTAAAGGAGCTTTGCTGTTTCCAGTTATCGATCCTCTTTATCTATCCTGAATAAGGGTCTCTGTTTGATTTCAATTAGCAATATTAAACACGTTCTCATTAGGGGGTCGGTAAGCAGATCGGAAAACATTGTAATACTCTTTCACGTTTATTATTTAGTACCGACTTTATAAAATACTTGACAATATTAATAATTGCGTCGAATAATTGTTTTACATCATTTGCAAAAAAAGAAACACATTTTGTAAAAAGCTTCAGGACAATGTCTTAAATGGTGTATCCTTATTTGAATTCGATTACACTTAGTCGCTTTAGATTGATTACCTGTGAGCTTTATTACGGTTGAATCTTGAGGTGTATTTTCGCCCCTACAATAAATCATTTTTTTTCACGTTTGCTAAAGGAGTGCAACATTAATGAGGAATTAAGGATTGAGTTAAGAAGCTGTTGGCTCTGATGTCTGTCCGCACTCCAGGATCCACCCAATCCCAAGTCTCCAAAGTATGAACGAGTGGAGTGATAAACTCAAAGGGTCTGGAGGGTCGCTGTGCAGAATCAGAAGCTAAAGGGATAAATTCTTGCTGGTGGCCTTTTGAGTGATAATACACGACCACTTTCTGGAAGTGAAAGTTAAAACATCACTCGTTTGCTGAACTAAACCTACATCATAGGGATAGGTACATTCCACGTATGAATCATAGCAAAAATTCCCTCTTCCCAGCAAAACATCTCCACTCTCTTTGATCCATACTCACTTGCGGTCTTTGAGTCGTGTTTGGGTCGAAAGTGGACGAGGCAGAGAGTATTGCATCGCGTCCTGCGAAATGCAAGAGAGCGCCAGTTCTAATATACTTGTTCATTTCCCAGTTCGGTCACGGTTTGGTATAGATGTATTGTTATTAAATGATAATACTCACTCCGTTTGGTGAATTATGTGCCTTTTTTTAAAAAAAAACATTTAATGTGTGTTTAAAGAGGTGCTGCCTGTGTTACAGACTGAACCGTACGCCTGCCAGATAATTTCATGGGGATTAAGTCCCCTTGGCCTGGAGTTTTGAAGCAGAGTGTGAGGAGAGAGGGGGAGAGAGAGAGAGAGAGAGAGAGAGAGCGCAAAAAAAAACTTTCCTTCCTTAAACTTCTTTTTTTTTTTAACCCTGTTCAGGCTTACAAAGAAAAGCTGGGTGACTTTTTTTTTAAAAAAATGGAGATAACTATCCTCAAATGAATGGCAGAGCGCACAAAAAGGACGAACATAGGTCAAATAACATTAGTCACAGATCTTACCAAAGAGCGCAGACTTCCAAGGAAACCTTCAAAAAAAATCTGTCGAAAATAAATCTCTCAGTCAAATTTCATTGCTGCTTATGCTTTATTTTGTTTGAACGCTTGTTTTAGTCCCCCCCTTTTTTTTTCTGAGTGGTTCAGAATCTGAACGTTGTGTCACAGTGTGGCCCGATCCCTTACCAAAGGAAATACATCCACGTGTACCTCAGCATGGGTTTGACCCAACCTCCCAGTCGATGTCGTTATCCTGATTTAGTGCAAAGAAACTGCCAGCAGTCGGCCTATGCCCAAGCAAAACTCTCCAATTTATTATTTATAATGCAGAGTAAATCAGACCAGTAGCCCCAATACCTACTGGTAAACAAAATTATCAGGACATCTCCATAGTATCCATTGCTCCCACACTCAATTAATCGTGTGTTTTAAATACATATTCAACATTTTTCTCGGATCTTTGGATTTCTGCATGCCAATGCTCCCCATATTTCACCACATAATTCCTCACTTTTCTCCCCCCCCCCTCCCAATTTAGGTTTACAATTGTTTGGGATTCGGGAAACTGACTAACATTTGATCAAGATATTCCGTTTCCTTGGCATCGAATGCTTTGTGGTGTCGTTTATTTTCTAAACCTATGTAAATCAAGCTCCAGCTTTTGAAAGGTTTATGTGCGTGTGTTTTTTATTTAAAAAAAACTTCACAAATTGATCCTGAGTAATTCATCTCTTTAGCCCAGGCATCTGCAGACCATCGCGTTTGCCCTCCCCAACTGTGTCAGGACTGCGCAATTGGCGCGACTAATCCAAGTGAAGGTTAAAGAAATCAACATATATAATGGGTAAGATTAAAACAATGTTGATTGGCTTCAAGGAGAAACTAAAATCTTTCTGACTGGACAGGAATAATATTAAAACCATCGAATATGCGACCGTGCAGAGGAGCTCCTATCTGGTTTAAAACCTTTAATCGGCGAATAATTGACAGCAGAGGTGGTATATTCTGACAGAAGGGTTTACTCAGACAGCTGATATAGAGCCTGATAATTGGGTGAAGCAGGTTTTACCTGCTGAGCCTCACTCAATGATGGGTGAGGATGCAATTCCGTCTTAAGGAGTGTCTGAATTGATCGATATGTACAGCACGTGCAAGTTATGTCAACCAATACACATTTAAAGTGAAACTATTGGGATACAAGTTAGAAAGACTGCTGTGTTGGTCAGTATTACATTTCAATGATAAAACATCACATGGCCGTTATCTGTGTTCGTTTGGTCATCAGCTCCGTTAGTGTTTCTCAAACACTGTAACTCCGAGACGATTTTTGCCAAACAAAAAAAAATGCATTCGCCTGAAATGCTCAGTGTTTAAAGTTCAATACATTTTGCATTTCATCTGACAATGCCATATAACGGCGAGAATACCACAAAAAGGTGGTTTACGTCTTTTAACATTTAAAGAAGGGCTAAATAGTGCATGTTTATTTTCAATAAAAGATGTTTCGGATGTTGCAATGATGTGAATTGCAGCCAAATTTCCCCCTCCACCACACACACACACACACACACACATATATTAAAAAAACATTTCCAATAACAATTTGTGAGTTTTACACAATGCATCGCTGGTGAATTGAATTAAACATAGCCTAACAAATATCTGATAACAGTTTCATTTAGTCCCCTGTGCTAAGTCACTTTCAGTGACAACGCTCTGTAATACGGTAACGCTCACAGGCGTTGCACTAATTTGCTTCCATGATGTTTTTTTTTTTTGGTTTATTTTTTTCTGAAACTAAAAGAACATTTTATGATCTTTACCCGAGCTGCGTGGCTGAGATTTTAAGTAGCGTTTAGGTTGGTCGACGGCGTTAGATTCATCTATGGATGAAGGCAGTCAGCCCACAGGAGGATAATCTACAGCTGAGGCTGAACACTGAGCAGCAACAAACAAAAAAAACTCCGCATTTTCTACAGAAATAAAGCTGCTGAAAGTCGGATAATACGATTTTGAAGCATTGTGTTGAGTAAATAAAAAAACAGCTGATAGTGACAGTTAGTTGATGCCATGGCCGCGCTTAATAGGATAATAGATGCATGGCTGTTGCCCACTTTTTCATTGCCAAACGCTGGGATATTAAGAAAAGATTAAGCCACTTTTTTTTTTCCTCCCAGAATATAATATTCTACACATCTGTTATCGTGCGGAAGACCAATTTAATCGATTTGGGGATCACGCCTTAAAGCCCTTGTTTTTGTTCTCTGGTTAGAAAGACTCCCATTGCCCTTTTTAAAACCAATCAACTGTTTATTCAAATATCTTTAAACATTTAAGACACGTTAAGCATTGTTTCCCCCTGTGCCATATGTTAAAAATCAGCACTTTGCAATCAAATGCCCTTTTTATCCAAAGCCTTTTGTATTACGCCGTATCTTTTCCGACTAAACCATCATTGGATTGATTTTAAGCCGCACTTTTTTTTAAAAAAAAAACCTATTACCCAAAACAATCAGTCTGTGGGGATTGTATCCTCTCAGAGTTTATGCTCTGTGTTTTGTGGTCAAAAAAAAAACACTTTCTTTGTGCGCAATCCCATGTTGTTCTTAAAATTGTTTACCGATGGGTAAAAGAATAATCCGTTCTAAATAGCGTTCGTGCATCGTGAATCATACTTGCGGTTCCTTTGGAGATTTAACCACACTTTTTATCAGAGTTTTTCCCGAGATAAATCAAACTCATTTTCTTAAAATTGCCCACGCAAAACTCACATCCATTGGTCAAGGACAATCTGCAGTTTAAACGTCTCACTCTGCCCTCTCTGCGATACCTTTCAAAGGGAGATTATAGTGTATGATATGAATATTTATTGAGCAGTTTTGTACGCGCAGCGGGAGTATCAAATAAATTTAGTGCTTTCTTTTCATAATTCCTTTCAAACGAGGAAAACGTCATTGGAAACTTGGTAAAATAGTCTTTTAATTAGCCCGTGTGCATTGCACTCAAACAAAACCCGCTCAAATCCTGGGAGCAATGTATTCAAAAGAGGCGGTCAGTGTTCAGAATTAATGGCTACACCTTCTTTGTTGAAGCTCCATAGTGATTGCTCGGTTATGAAGTCTAATCCAATCATAAATTGCTCTAATGGTCCAATCCGAGGACCAGAAACCCGGAGTAAAAGAAAGTCCTGTGGAGAACTTTGTTGAACTTCATTGTAAGACCTGTCACATCTGAAAGGATTTACCCAAACTGTCCACTATAAAACCCATCAGGCAGAAGGAAGCCATGGTAGAAAAGTGCCAGAGCTGTTAGTTGGATCTTACTGAGAGGAAGGGTGGAAAGAAAAGAACTCTTTGCTCAAACAGGACAGATTTGGAGCATTCTCCCCCCACCCACCCCCCATCCCCCCTCTCTCCCCCCGCACCAAAGCGCTGCAAACATGATGTTCCCAAGTGTGATCGCTCCTTCAGCCATGTACCCAAACCTCTTGCGACCCACCCCGACTCTGACTTTGCCCCAGTCCTTGCAGTCAGCCTTCTCCTCCCATGCAATGGGGGCCAGCTTCCTGGTGGAAGATCTGCTGAGGATCAGCCGACCGACAAGCTACCTGCCCCGGTCGGTGTCAGCCGCCCTGTCTCCATCGGTATCCGTTTCCACCAGCCTCCCCAGCTCGGTGACAACCGACTCAGTCAGCAGCTCAGCCTCTGTGACCAGTCGGATGTGTTCCCCACACAACTCCGGCTCTGGCCACAGCGATTCCAGTTACCTGAAGTTCGGTGTCCACGCGATTTTGTCATCCACACCCAGAACTGGTGAGTGTCTGGTTTTCTTCAACGCTTAGAAAGTTCCAGGAGGAGGAATGGGGAGGGGAGGAATGGGGAGGGGATGGAGGGGGGGTGGGGGGGGAACGTGGCTAATAATCTTGACTTTTGTTGATGATGCACCAAAATGCCACCATCTGATTGACTTTGGTGCGGGGACCTCAGCTTTTAACCTTTTGCATTGCCGTTATCTCTCTTAAAAAAAAACAACGCCGGATAATAAAACTGTAGCTCTCAAGAGCAGATGAGAATATATAACCAAAGCAGTTTCGGTACCGTCCAATTTATTGCGACATTGGCACTACTGTGTGATCCTATAACTCGCGTGGACTCGAACCCCAAAGTGCTTCATGTAATGACATTAATCGGCTATTTATTCGAATTGTAATTTAACTCCGTGTTCCTCGTTGACTACCAATTATATTAATCATCATTTTTTTAAAAAAAAAATGTGTGTGTGGGTGTGTGGGGGTTGTTGTCCGAATCTGACGTTTCCCTTTCTTTTGCTGTTCTTGCAGAAACATCCCATCACTTGATCCAAGGACTCTCCCCAAAGGCGTTCTCCTTCCCTTACTTTGAGGGCTCCTTCCAGCCCTTCCTTCGCTCCTCGTATTTCCCAGGTACAACCCCCCACCCCCCAACCCAACCCAACCCCCGGGGGAGGAAGGGGGCGCGATCCCCCCGTGTTTCACGCGCACTTAATCAATATTTCGCAGCTCATCTTGGGGGTTAGACTGAGGTTCAGAGGTTGTTAGGAGTACACCAGTTCGGAATCAGTCGCGGTAATTTGATGCCCTATTTAGCACAGGCAGTGACGGCTGACATTTCTGCTCTGATTCCGTGATCTGCAAATTAGCAGGAATTGTCACGCACTAAGTTCGAGGCGGGTCCACCCTCAGAGGGGCTGTTGGCTTCCCTTCACGGCTGCGCTTTTCCCACAGAGCCCCGCAGCTCACCAATGACTCCTAACAAAAGCCTTGAGGACCATGACCAATTGCTGGTTCAGTTGGGAGAAGCCACACGCAGTCTCAAGTCTTCCCTCCCCCCCCCCATCCACCCCACCACCCACCCACCCACCCATCCAACCTCACCTCTCCTCCAGTCCCAGTCCTTTGCCAGTACCTGATTATATGGTATATATATATATATATATGCAGGAATCTTCCCATCAGCAAATTGCCCAAAGTTTCAGTCCCATTGCCCCCCCCTCCCCCCCCCCCCCCCCCCCCCCACACACACACACAGTCAACCTTTACGATCTGAATGCAAACAAGGTCTCGATGCTCTTGAATTAATTTATGTTCAGATCGACGGACCAGCTAATAAAATAGAGCCTTAAAGGAAACTTGGTATCAATGCAAGTGACCAATACACCCCCCCGCCCCCACCACCCCCTCTTTTTAAACACCCGAGAGCTTATCTGACACACTTTTATCGCGCGTATTAAAGTTTGGTACAGAAGTGCGTATTCTCAAACATTCCGTCTTAGATGTGTCAACAACCTGCCTTCAAAAAAATGTACATTAATTTAGTGCTGCAGTATATGCTTTGACTTGAAGCCCTTCTGCTTCAAATGGCTCATTTCATTCATCACACTGGAAATATTTAGAAACAAATATTGATCCTTGAAACCCACTGGATTCGTGGCACATTCGAGGTTTCTTTTTACTGATAAAACCTTTGCTGTTTCAATAGTCGTGCAATTCATCAAAACGTGCCCAACCTGAGCCTTTTAATTGACACGTCTCGAACGGCTTAACGTTATGAAATGAAGGTTCCTCTGAACTGCTGACAATTGGGACTTTTGCTGCCTTGTTTTCATCGCACAAAAACAACTTGGGAGAGTGTTTTGAGCCTTTTTAGATGGCTTTTCGTGTTCATTTGACGAAAACGTTTGGAGAGGAGAAAAAGCAGCCAGCCATCAGCATTCGCACAATGATCTGAGCACACAGTTCTGCTAAGATCCAATGTGTAGATTTCTTTTGTTCCAATAATATATGGCTTTAGCAGCCTGTCCTCAGTCTTTTTCTGTTAGTTCATTACTACACAATTACCATTCACGCTTCATTAGAATTTCTGTCTGCTATTAGCACTTTGAGAAGGAGAAAGTCTTTCCCTTTTTATTGCAGAAGAACCATTTGATACCAATGAAAATGTCCTTAATAATCGCCCCTCACTGGTTTCACACAAAACGCGTGTCAGTAACTTCATCATTTCCAAACTTTTTTCTCCAACAAAAAGAAAGTGGTCGGCGAAAGGGCTTATGATTACTATATTCAAGCTTAAAAGTGTGAATTTTGTTTTAAAAGGTAGCAGTCTTGAAGTTAAAGTAACTCATTTTATATATTTTATATTATATATAAATGCTTAACTTTTTTTATTTTCAGGCATAATTGTAAAGTGAATCGAAACGTGTATTGTGTATTGCGTACCTGCAAAGCACACAATTCATTTTACAATATGTCCTGTGAAGCACTTTAAGACAACGTGATAAGGCGCTATATCAAATGCAATTATTATTATTATTATTATTAATCAATGTAAATAACTCCTTTGTCTAATCTTTGGTTTAGTCTATATGGCTACACAGTATTCTGAAATATTCTGCATCTTCCCTATCTTTACCGTTCCGTTTAATTAATTGTATTTCCCTCTTCCCTCACAGCTTCCTCCTCTGTTGTCCCCATCCCTGGGACCTTCTCTTGGCCACTGGCTGCCCGGGGAAAGCCCAGAAGAGGAATGCTCCGTCGGGCTGTTTTCTCAGATGTGCAGCGCAAAGCTTTGGAGAAGATGTTTCAGAAACAAAAATACATCAGCAAACCAGACAGACGCAAGTTGGCAGCCAAACTGGGACTCAAAGATTCACAGGTTAGTTTTTTTTTAATATATACACACACACACATTAATAAACCTTTACCAGTTAACTTATTACTGAGCAAATGATTAATTTTGGGGGTGGGGGGTGGGGGGGTGGTGCCTTGTGGCAGTGGTGGATGCACCAAATGGCTTGAAGGTGATTTCTAGTAATTGGATAGTTTGCCTCATAGAAAGAAGTGGTGGTGGTGGTGGGGGGGGGGGGGGGGGATTTTGTTGTGTGTGCAATCTTGACAAGTTAGCCAAGATGCGTTCTGTATCTGTTAAATCTCCAGTGTTTGGCCCACAACATGTATGCAGTATATTCCATGAAGCGCTTGGAGACGTCTCGAAGACGTGATAAGGCGCTGTGTCAAATGCGAGGATTATTCTTATTCGAATTAATTGAGGTTTTACTCACATTTCTCTGTGTGTGTGTGTGCGTGTGTGTGTTTTTTTAAACCAACAGGTGAAGATCTGGTTTCAGAACAGAAGGATGAAATGGAGAAATTCTAAAGAAAGAGAACTCCTGTCGGCTGGGGGCTGCAGGGAACAGACCCTCCCGACCAAGTTAAACCCTCACCCTGACCTGAGCGACGTGGGGAAGAAGTCACCTTGTAGATTGCACTCAGGAGACGAGGAGGAAACAGGTTGCAGAGACAGCCCCAAGTCTTCCATCTGTCACTCACCAGAGTACAAGCACATGGACAGCCTGGACTCGCACCTCAGGCTGACATCACACCAGCACAGCGACAAACACACTTACTTTTCCGAAGAGGAGGATGAAGATGAAGAAATAACCGTTTCATAATATAATCTTCGGTTCACTTTTCCGATTGGACATTGTTTATATCCGCCAAGTGGAGAGAGACAGAGAGACACACACACAGAGAGAGAGAGAGAGAGAGAATTAACTTTTATTTGTTTGAGATGCGTCGGTTTTATTGTTACCGAATTTTTGTACAGATTCTGTGAGTTGTACGAATATTTTATACTAAGATTATTATGAACGATTTATACATACATAGAGTTTAGATTTTAATAAGAAAAACAATGTTTGGAAACGTTTTTTTAATGACTTAACTTGAAAAAAAATGTAGGCTTTTGAGGTCATAACTTATATAAAAAAAGAAATGTTTTATTTTGTGTCCCACGAGGTGTATAGGTGGATAATGTTTATATCAAACGGTTTGTACCATACCAAATAATAAAAAAAATAAGTAGAGATTATCAGATACGTTGAAAAGAAACTTATAAATTACTGTTGTCAAAGAGATTTATTTTTTTTCGTTTGTTTGTGACGGAAAACTTTTCTGAGATCGTCTGGGAGTAAGTAAATAAAACAAATTACTTACCCACATTGATATAAAATCAGATTGATATAAATTCTTAAAATTTATTTACAAGAAGATAAGGTGGGGTTTTGGGGGGGTCCGGTTGGGTGGGGGGGAGGGGGGACAAAGTTCCTCCAACAATAAACAACACTTTTAGAAAAAAGTAGTTACAATTTTGCGAAAAGTGGAATATCCCTTTTGTGCAATTCGCAGTACAGTGGCTCCAGTCAGATCTCCATCAAGTAGCTGATACTTATTGCACATTGACATTGCATTGACTTATTATTATTATTACTACTTACGTTTTGGGCTATTTCATATATTTGAGAAATGATGGAATCCACAAATCGTCGTTGCAGAAGTGGCCACACGAGCACTAGATTCATAACAACACCTCACTGGCTAAAGATAACAATTAATATTCTTTTAATATCTTGAATCATACCGAGACCTGATCCCACACCTGACCTCAATGGATGAAGGTTCCACTGTTAGGCAAGTGGTCCTATGTGCGTTTTGTCAAAAAGATACCTCATTTTTTATGAGTTTTTGCAAACAAACAGCATTTTTTTTTAACATTTAGCATTACAAACAGCAGGTGAATTAGATGCAACCTGCAACAGGTGACAGAGGAGAATTACACATCATTACCTCCAAATTCTGGCTTGATACCAGACTGGGTCAACTCGGTACAGTTTCAAGGCAGCGAATTATATTTTTGTGGCTCATTTGCCAAGATCTGGCACCAGTGTTGAGCCACCAAAGCCCCAGGCTCCCCAAACAGCTTCACCACCTCATCCAGACACGTGTGGGTGAGGAAGAACATTGATTTTATGGATCAAAAAAGCACATTATTTGAAATCTCTCCTGGGCTGAGCTGGAGGACAACTCAAAATCACAATCACCTGCATCTCATTAAGGCCCTTCACCTAAGTAGTCCAAATGGATTGAAGGTAAGGAAGATTTCTGACTGTCTTTCTGATGGCATTTAACAAAGTTTATTGTCCAGAACCTTCAAAGCAATACTGCAAGGAATTAATGAGCTGCTTATGGGTATTTCATTGCAGTGAACTTATTAATCTGTGTCTAAACGCTGCACACGTAACAGCAACATCTGGAGCCAGATAATACCAGGTGCACATTTAGAGGGAGTTTGTTTTTTCCTCATCTACACAGCAGAAACGTCTTTGCGGGAAAACATTATAGTTTTACTATAAAACCCTGTGTTGAGGCAGTAACATTTCACTTATTTGACATTTCATCTGTACCCTTTAAACATGCAATTCTAACTGTAACCACACAGTGCACGCCAATATTTCTCTTTCAACTCTGGAATATAATGTGGCTAATGACAATTAATCTTTGCCCAAAGAAAAAATGTACCTTTAGTTTTTTGGTCGAAAGTATTGGGAGTCTGTGAAGTTATTTGCCCTCTCGTGGGCATAGAGAGCACAACTACTGTGAGGCGGTTCGAATTTGTCCCCTAGTGATGGGACTTCAGTGTTGTGACAACACATGGTTTTAAATGTTGGGATTCCTATTCATCATCCCCAAAGGACACACTCCAGGTCTCTATTCCCTCTGTTATGGTTTGAAGAGTGTTTCTAATTCTGATGGCGCCTGGAAGATGATGGACCAGTTACATTGGACCAGTAAAATAAGTTGTTTCACCAACAAAATATACACACAATTCACTTTACAGTATATTGTGTTGCGACGTCTCGAAGATGTGATAAGGCGCTATATCAAATGCAGGTATTATTATTATGGGGCTGACATTTGGTTTAATGGGGCCACTGAAGAAATCACCGTTAATGAACTACAGCCACCGGTGGATGACTTTATCTTCCCGAAGCATGAAGTATTCCCAAAGGGTGTGAGCAAAGCAAAGCAGTTGCTCCTTTCATTGTGTTCTGTGTGAATTTACTGACATCTGGTGGAAGGAGACATGTACGACAGAATTCATTTCTGTACAAAATCTGATCACAATTCAGCTCATCTCCATTGAATTAGTTTATCAGAAAGGCAAAGCTGATCAGTCCGTCCATCATATCGTCACTGTGGGCTGGACAGCTTTGCTCCAGTTGGAGACCTCGCTGTTGTAATTGTCTGTGTATCTCTATGTGTGTGTATCTCTCTCTGTTTGTGAGTGTCTATGTGTGTGTATCTCTCTCTGTTTGTGAGTGTCTATGTGGGTGTCTCTCTCCTCTGGTATGTGTCTGTTTGGGAGTGTCTCTGTGTGAGTGCGTCTGTATCTCTCTCTCCTCTGTATATATGTGTTTGTGAGTGTGTGTTTATGAACGTCACTGAGTGATTGTGGATGTGTCTTTCTCTCCTCTGTATGTGTTTATATGTCTCTTTGTGTCTGAGTGTGTGGGGGGTGCGCTGTGGGGGGGTGGTGGGCGGTGCGGTGGGCGACCCACCAATGCTGTGTCTCACTCTCTCTCTGAGAATGTGTGTCTCTGTGTCTGTGAGTGTGTGTGTCTCTCTGTGTCTCTTAGAGTCTGTGCGTCTCTCTTTGTGTCTCTGAGTGTGTATGTCTCTCTCTGTATGTGTCTCTCTCTGTGTCTCTATGTCTGTGTGCAGTGCTAAGCCCTAAGAGGCAGGAGGTGGTGAGCTACTGTAGCCCTCCCACTCAGGACACTGGTTCTGAGTGTCTGNTTTTTAACAGATCTCCAGGCCCTTCGAGCCAGCATTGGTGTGTCGCCCACCCACCATCCCCCACAGCGCACCTCCCACCCAGTTTTCGTTAAAGAAGACATTAATGAAAATGTTTTGCAACAATCTAATACGTGTTATTTCCTCATCTTTAGTTTTTAGCAATAAAGTGAAAAAATATCAGTTGGCAGTAAAATGTACAACAAAAGCACCAATCAACTCCCCCCAGTTCTCCGCAAAATTTGAGATCAATAGGTGAGCAGAAAGAGATTAATAAGAGTAACAGGGAGTTGAATAAATAAGCATTCATTTTATTGAATCAGGAATAATTTAAGACTGGTACAATAACTAGATTTATTCCTTAACTGAGACATGATCTTGTGCGAACCATTAATGAATCCAATGAGAGACCAGGAGAACGAACTTAATTCAAATGGGATGACACATCATACAGTACACAAAATACTCATTTCCTAGTGTTTTAAAAATGGCTAGAAAAGTCATCAAAATGCATCACTGTAATCTATTTACAATTTATGTTACAATGAATAAAATGTACATCATATTAAACACATTCAAAACAACTGTTCCACTTAAACCGCTAGGTCCTACAAATAGTTTCCATTGAACAACCATACTTGGTGAAAAATTATCACAAGTAACAAACATGAGTTTGGTACAATAATCATTACTATGATCAGCATTTCATCATTTTGTTTCTCCAAATTTACAGAAAACACTAGCTAGAAATCAAGCCAAAGCCATATACAAGTCCTTTCCAGCCTGTACAATTCTTGGCAGTTTTCAAAAAAATTATTTTTTTTTGCCTTTTGACTTCCATTAAAATTCCGCATGAACATTGCATAGCATCTTCAACTCAGAACACTATTTAACAACCAGACACCATGATTGGAGGGGAAGTAAAGAAGGACTCTTGGAAGCATTTTTTAAAAAAAAATTACAAAAATTGAAACAAATACACATCAGAAACAATTCAATCAAACCGCTGGTTCATGTTCCTTCGCTCAACCCACCTCCTATTCTGAGTTGAGCCATAACAACCATCACAGTTTCAATGCCACAATGGACAGACAGTGACCAGGATACTGTAACAACAAGGCTATGGCAGAGAAACCAAAACATGAGGTATAGTAAAACACGCTGATCAGTCGAAGTGCATGAACACCCAACTCTGTGTGAATACATCACTAAGTAGGGGAAAACAGCACAGCACAACAAGCTCCCCGAATAGAAAGTTTATTACTCAGTCACTGGATGATTTCAATATTTATACATCAATACTTCTGTAGGGTTGATCATGGATGTATTTTTTGCAGGGATGGCATTAACCTCTATACAATGGATCCCAAGCTTACAGTTTTTGCACAGTAGATGATCCACTATCAGGTGCAAACGCAATAAACTGTAGACCTTACAGTGTGAAATCATTGATTTTCCTCCTTGATTCTCTTACTTATAGCAAATTACTTGTTTTTCTTATTTTATTTAAAACAGCACGAATAAAAAATACCTTGATCGTTTTAATATTTGAGATGAAATTTCAGCCCTGTTTTCAGAAACTCAAACAATACAGAATAAATTGCCCCAAACAAAACCCCGCCAAAGAAAATTAGTACAAAAGAGTAAGGCATCATTTAATTCCAGCACCAGATGTAGCTAAAGGCTTGCGTGGATTTGGCTGAAGGATTGCGGTTATCGCTGAGGTACAGCTCAATCCAGCTTTTTTTTTAAAATTCTCTTTTTGTATTTGCAAAAAAACAAACAAATAGAAGTGCAATTCTGGTGGAGGTGTTATCAGTCCTGGTGAAGATACAAGCCTTTTTGACAATCAAGTTGTATGTGTGTGTGTGCGCGCGCGTTCTGAATAAGGAAAAGCGAGAGGAGGAGAAAACGGGGACCTTTCGGTGTTGACTTCTGGCTCAACCATGTTTCAAGTATCTGACCCTTCAGTTGTGAAAGGTAAAGAGTTCAGTTGGCTACGAAAAAAAAAAAAACTGGTGAAAACCAACTGAATGGGGGTGGTGGGGGGGTGTATACCGGGGATGAAACTGAGCCCGTAATCATGTGTTGGCAGAGAAGTGGCTTGTTTTATAATTCGACAAAGAGCAACATGGTGGGTAACATTAGCACCAGAACCACCAGCAACTTGAGGTTTCTGTGTCCCCGTTATTGAAGGAGTTGGTTGGAATGTCCAGTGTCCACTGACCGTTTGGTTGAGAGCAGCATAGGGTATTAGTCTTTCCAGGACAGTACTTGGCACGCTGTTGGTTCCATACCTTTTAAAATCAGGTTTCGGTATTTTGTAACGCATTTCTTCATTGGCACGGCATTAAACGCCTCGAGCAGTTAAAAGAAGAAATAGTGCAGTTCTGGTTTACGAAATAAAACTGTGAGGATGAGGAAGGGGATGGGGAGGAGGAGGAGGGGGAAAAAACCCACAAATTGAATCTCCCTTTGGGTTGCCTGCACCCGTCGGAGTTAAATCAAAATAAAGTGTCTTGTACCAGCCTCGCTGTTTTTCTTTCTAAAAACGGAGGCTTCTGTCTGTTCAACTGAGGAACAAATCAGTTTCGCTCACTTAAAACAACTACTAAGGTCCTCACCTTCAGCCGAAGTATTCAGAGAAATGATGGACACAAGAGGCAGAATAGTTCGTCAGAAAAGTCTGCTCAAAGCGTGGACTCCAGAGACGAATCAAGAATGTCATCGTGATGGCTGTTGCTGTTCGAGTCACTGTCATAACTATGGGGACTTGAGTAATTTGCAGCTTCCTGTAGCCTCATCAACATATTCATCTATAAATAAAAAATGCCAAGCAAGTTCAGGACCAAATAGCAGGTGACACATTCTAAGCTGTAGATCTACAACACTTCCAACATTCAGGTCAGTGTGATTGCTCTGGCCTTTGCAAAGTGGCCTTTTGTTTAATCTGTTTGTTAAAGCACCGCCTCATTGCCACAGTCGTACAAATTCAAAACTTTAGAACTGTTTTCCAACTCACAAGAGGGTCTCCTTCTACATCACTCTGTTGGGGCTGTTTACTGGAACCTCCTTCCCGGGTTTGTGTGAAGCCATCAAAGCCGACATCTTCAGGCCTCAGCTGTAACAGAGGGGGCCATTCATGATGCTGTGGAGTGGCAGTCCAAGTATATGTGTCCATCACCCACTTAGCTGGGTCCTCCCACGCACTTCTTCTCCCATAGAGCTATTAGGAAAAACAGAGTTACTACACTTCCAGAATGATCAGGCGCACAATCAAACGCCCTCAAGGTGCATTTCAACTCATCCAGACCATTGATACAAAATCCATACTTTGAATTACAAATTAAGGAATCTGTAATAGACTTGGCAATCGCACAAAACAATAGCTAACGTATTAACAGAAGTGGCAATTTTTCCTGAGTGAACTTAGGCTATAAGTGTTGGCAGACAATCAATCATGGAGAATCATAGCCTGATACTGATACTAAAACAAAATCGTGCCTTACAGGCAAATTATTCCAGTGGCCTTGGCTTACCTGCAACCCTTCTCTCACTGCCTCCAGCAGATAAGGAATAATAGAATAATTCCACAAATCAGTAAACCAAACTCTTGAACCATCCACATCCATTGGGCATGACAAGAACAGTCGAGGACCTAGGAAAGTAAATGTAACAGTGAATTACAATCTTTAACATTTTATGTTTAGTAAAAATTATAATATACATATAAAAAAAAAGTACATGATTGCATTATTCCATTCATTCGTTTGGGATTCGGAAATGAAACTGAAGTAACATTACGTTCTGAAACAGTTTGCCCAGTTTGTGTCTGTAATGCACTATTGCATTCATAACCTCAGTAAATGTTTCCCTCAACCCACCTGAATGACAAAGATATTTGTCACATGGTTGGAGATCTAGATTCTCATCTATTTGTCTAATTTGAATAAAAGAAGACTCCATTTTTCCCCCCTAAATTTTCAAATAATTCATGTGTACTGAGTACGGTTTGACATCTCAAAATTCATATCTGTCCCTCCGAGAAAGAGTAGCATCATGCAATGATAAATGAAGCATCTATAATCATTACCTTTATGATAAACGACAATGCATATAATCTCAGAAGCATGACTGCTACATCTATTCCAACAGCTTTTGGTCATTCAAGCATTTCAAAATAAACCATGTGCATTAATCAATGTCATTTACTCTCCTGCCTTTTACATGCAGGTAAGTACACAGTTTTGAAGTACTAATATTGTAATGTAACTCAAAAGTTTAGAGGATGTCATAAACCATAAAATATCAGCAACACAAGTCCTTCACCTGAGCCCCATTTAAAACAGAACCTTTCACTCAACTCTCTTTTGAAAAAGGAAAATAAATAATTACCGATAGTGACATCAGAAGAGCTATGAGCTTCGAGGAATCTATTCAGGTGGTGCCAGACCTTGGGAATCCAGTCAATAATCTTGACCAGCTCAGTGTTCCTCGTCCTGGTGCTGATCTCGGTTTCGATCAACTTCCTCCGCAGGTAACGTCCCAAGAAACCTTTGACTGGTTCAGTGTGATTGGCACATAGGACCCACCTATCGCAGGAAAAACAGTGATCATATTTACGAGCTACGTGTGAAATGTGATTTATTTGTCATAGTCTAATTTACAGAAAGGGAAGAAAAAAATCAAACACGGCCATTTGGTAAAACCATTCTATACTTTATATTTGCTTGAAACACCTGAGAGTGTTGTTCCATCTCTCGGACTTCAGGTTTCCAGAAGCGAGTGGCGCAGGTACAAATCTTGCTTCCATTTTAAACACCAACCATGAAAAATAGTGGTGCTGTCAGGAAGTTCAGCTGAGGTTCCACCAATCTCAGTGGCTGAAATACTTCAACTCCTTCAATATATGGGTTTTCTCCATCATTATTGTTACAGAGCTTTGCTCACATTTGTAGAAATTGTTGGAACAAAGTGTTGGATTAACAATCCAAACTATTCATTCACAAGCCCCTGCTCTGTGCATATTCCGATCAATTGACAGCCCTAAATACACAAATCAAACATCGTGACACACTTTGAATTTACTATCGTCAAAGCAACACGGCGCATACCTGAAGTTATGGTGAAGCTGGAGGTTAGGAGTTGAGGATGTAGCCTGGTTCATTGTGCCGATGATGTAAGGGCTGGAAAAACATGAAATGTCTAGACAGTCACATGGTTAGACCATAAAACAGACTGAAATATATTTGAGTGTGTTGCCCATATTTCCTGAATTTCACGCTTTACTGCATCAGTCTCCATGCAATAAGCAGGCTCTTTTACAAAAAAATTAATCTTATCTCATTTCATATTGAGGTATAAGCGCGACAATGAAAATGACTGCGCTCATGGGTTATGCAAGTTCTACATTATTTTATCAAGTCTGCACGTGGCAGCAACATGCAAGCTTTTTATAGTGAGATAAAGGGAAAGGAAACAGGGTCTTACAGTAAAACCACTCGGGGTTTCACTGAGCTGTACCATACACAGTCACAACACACTAAAAATCCTGTGACATGCTTTGAGACATCCTCCTGATGTGAATGGCTCCATATCAAACATTATTATTATAAAAGCAGGAAGGTGGCCAATTCCTAGAGAATTCAAAAGCCTCATTTTGCATCCAGATTCTTTGGCAATTGAGTGGGGGGGGGGGGGGGGGGGGGGGCGCTGGGGGAATTCATGACAACCAGAAGGTTGCCAGCTCCTGTGTTGACTAGAATGTGGTGAGTCGTCAGCTTCAGGATAGGGAAAATAATAGGGGAAGAGGAAATTAAGCAAATGCATCATTTACCATTTATGGTACTTGCAATTCAAGAGGCCATTAAAGATCTCCCCAAGCGAGCCAACGTGATGCAGGTTGTCGAGGATGATCACACTGGGCATGTCCACTGCGTTGGATTCACTGTTACACTGATCTGCGAGATTGGATAGATATTGACGCAGCTCCTGAAAACAATAACAGGTTGTGTGTCAGTCTCTATGCCAGATCGACATGCACAATTCACAATTCACCTCAAGAAGAGGCGTTTCCCAAACAGCTGTTTAAACATGGAACAGAAGCTCACTTTTGTGTACGGTAATTCATTTGTAACAGTAATTTTTTTTTCAAACTGAAGTGCCAGGGGCAAGACTGCTGGAGGAATACACGTCCACAATAATTGATCGACTGGCAATAAGCCAATGAATTAACCAGACAGTCACTTGCTTCAAAACAGTACAAGGTACCATACTTGACTTCAACACTCTTGGTTGAGAGAAAGTAAACAAAATCAACCAAGAATTGTCCTACAGTGACATCTACTGAACATGTCTATGAGGACAGGAGCAGATTCAGCTGTGATGCCTCCATGGTCAAATAGCCTGACAACATTCAAGGTCGAAAACCGTGCATGAAGAACAACCACTTGGGGGAGGTTCTGCAATTTTTGGCTTCTGGGATATCCAACCACTTCCATTCGATGCAGGTTTGACTGTATTATCAACTGTACTTGTGCAGTTACATGTACAACAGGACTAATGTTAGACGGGCTGGCGCTTCTCACCTTGCTTGACTTATGATCCACGTTAAACGTAGCAATGACCCCATCGCTCAGTTCCCTGCCTTCCTTGAGCACCATGTACTCTCCAAGTCGATTAGCCAGGTAGGTTTTCCCAGTACCACTGGGCCCCGACAGAATAATCCGACGATGTTCCATTAGAAGTGAGACATATCGCTGCAGCATTGGCTTTGGGATCAGTGTTTCAAACACAAGGGAATCCAGGCTGTGCTGAGGCAAACCTGAGCCACGGACAAAGGGTAGAACCAACAAGGTTACGCACAGAGAGCACTTTTGGAAGTAATAATCACATTTCCAGATTAAGGATATCTCTCTTATCCACCACACATCATGAATGATCAAATGTATGTTGCATTTTGGGAATTGTAGATGCAAGCAATCTGCTGTGAGCTCTAATTTGCAATGCTGTGTTTTTTAACTAGATTGTTGAATAAGAAATTCAGTTACAATTCCTGATGTCTACTCCAGAGGTAGGATGTTCCAGAGGAAAGCCCTCGTTACCCGATGGAATATTAATTGGCACAAATCGGATTCTTTATTAAGGAATATCGTTGCAAATTGCTGGATATGAGGCCTCCCTTTGTTAATTCCCAGGACACCCAGTAGAGGGAGCCAGTCACTAATTTCGAGGTAGAGATGGTGAACATCCCAAACAAACCTATAACAAACCCATTCAGTTCGCAGTGAAAAATCTTTTCCATTTCATCATCAAACATCTGCTTTGGCTTGCTTGGGTATTGTGTGGCGAAACCTTACACCCTACACTACAGTGACGTCTCCCTCCTTTGCTTTCTCCTTAAAGTAAGGCATTCATCTCAGATTGCTTAGGTCCTACTCCACGTTTTTGAAAATGATATCGATCATTATTTTCATCTTAAATACCAATTATCAACAAGAAAAAAAACTGAAACATAGCAAACCCAAGATGAGGGAGACATGCAATTTGTTTCCTGTAGAAAGAGAAGCGTTTATACCTTTAAGAGACATCATGATTGTGTTGTTTTCTCCCACTAAGTAGCCACATGGTAGAAGCTCAGGTATATCTGATCCGTTAACGCGTCTGATATCTCCGATGCTGTAACCCAGAACACTGTCTGAATTCAGGCCTAACTGGCTGACTGGATCCACGTGGATAATGTATTCCTGAGAAAGTCAATACAACAAGGTTCAATTAAGTCACAAAAAATACTCAAAATAATATCAAACTGTTTGATACCGCACCGTACCGTATCAAAACTTTTCAAAAGTGTTTAACACTATGAATTACTTTAAATTGCAGCGACTTGCTGTGTTGGGAAATACAGCATCTAATCTAAAATACAGAGCCATGGTCCACAACCAGCAGAGATAATAATCAATTAACTTGGATGAGGAAGGAAGCTCTAACAGGAAATAGTGTGACTGTCTGAACCACCAGAATTGGTAGACAGGACATCGGTTCAACATCTGCAATTAGCGGCTGTCTTTACCTTAAAAAGACGGCGCACAACACCATCCAAGACATCCCACTTTGTCTTGCCGCTGACACCAATGCACCCAACAATATACTGTCGGCTCCTGGACTCCTGTAGCAGAGGAAACAGCAGATCAGGATGTGGCAAAGTAATGTTTAACCAGTGCAATGCTGAAGCACTCCTGATCGCTACAGGAAGTGTAATTGCACGGTGTACTGTTTATTTTGTTGTACTGAGTGTAATCTTAATATTACGCACGTGCAAAGTGATATATAATAGCGACGGGTATTATTACAAACGTATTTAAAACAGTGGTGAGTTCCGCAGAGTTTCATGCCTTCACAACAGACTCTTATCAATGAAGGGAAGTTCCACCACCTCTTTCATTTGTAAACCACAATAATTCACTTGCTGCATCAGCAATTTGCAGATTATTGGTCTTTTCCACTCATGAAAGAGACCTGCACTGTATCATTACTGGTTAGAAATTCACAATGTCAATCTGATTGAGCAGGTCAAAGGATGGACTAAAGGGAATGTGTAAAGCTGGAATGTGTAATTCCAGATTCCCAAACCAAGCCTCTGTTTTGCAACAATTTTGACTTGTGCTAAACATTACTGAGCGAGGACTGTAAAGCCTTATCTAGTTGACATCCACTTTTTGAGTTAACCAGAACTATAAATACAGAAACATAGAAATTTACAGCAGAGATTAAGGGAGTTTGGCCCATTGTATCTGTCCTGGCTCTTTGAAATAGCAATCCATTCAGTCCCATGCTTTTATACGAATATTATTCTTGGCTTCTAACTTTTAACTGGGGTGAAGAAGGATGTTTTAGTGCTCCAAGTTAAAAAAGGCTGACTTTGAATACAAATATTCATAGGTCAATTCATTGCAAAGATCATTCTTGCATCTCAATATCATTTCAGAAGGAGCGACAGGATTAGCCACACTCAATATACCTCCTTCCATCTCATCTCCTCTTGCAAGCGGACCATTATTTTCACGTGCCTGCCCTCCTTGCGAGTGGAGCCATCTGCATTGTCATCGAGCAGCATATCTTCCCAAAGGAAATACCAGGAAAAGAAAACAATGGAACAGAACAATAAGTGGGAGTAGTTCACTGACTCAGCTCCTGCCTTTCGTTCAGTCATATGAACGTAACGCTATTGGAACAATGTTTAGATAACCAAAATACTTCAATTCACAGCAATGTCAAAACCCATTAGAAAACTCTATACCCGACTGATGAGCATTTAAAAAAATTGAATCCCTGTATGAGATTCAAGTACTTATCCAACAGAAGCACACAGTTGGAAAGATATTGAAAATGTTATTTCTTATTACTGGAGAAACTGACTAGACTCATAACACTCGCTGCAAGCGTGATTTACAATGAAAGCGATGACTGGTGCAGAGTCACTTACCGAGGCTGGTGGATTCAGTCAGGTTAAGACTGTGTTGGGAAAGGGCTAGTGACTGACGGGGAGACAAGGAAATGGATAGCTGGGATGGGACCCGACTGCAGATCCCTTGCGTTTCAGCCTTCAGCCTGTCGTTCTCAGCTTTCAGCTTTTCGATTTCAGTCTAGGAGAAAAAAAAATTTGAAATGCAAAATTTGGGGTCTTGCAGAATTTTTGAGGAACCAAAAATGACTAAAGAAGATTTGCCTCTTGCACAAAGTTAAATTGGACAGAAAAATACTTTTTTTTGGTCAGCTGGGAGTTTCACACCTGCGGAATGAATCCATCCCCATGCTAAAGAGTATCTAAACCACCAGAGTTCCACCTATGTGAGACATTGTGGTTTTGGTTTGATTTGAACATAAATTGCCATTTCCTTTGGCGCACTTAATCCCTGCCTTCTGTTCAGTCTGACAATTGCTGTATTTGTAGTAAAGCATGTTAAATTTCCACAGTTTTTGCGAGATGCTGTGTGTGCTCGTCAAAAGCGGGGCTTTTGCAAACGTTTTGAGAATAAATGGTTCAAAAAACGACATGCAATTTTGCATACAATCAACTGATGTTCCACCAGTTCAAACATTAATGAGGTTAAAGGGAGGATTGCTGAGGGTGGGGACAGGAACACTCATCACCTTGAGTCCAGCATGATTATGAGTCATATTGTTCCAAAACAAATCACTGTTATAGATTGCTGGATCATTGCAGGAAATAACAGGCAGTGGGCTCATCTGGCAAAACCGTCATCTACAATGTCTTGCGTTTCTCTGTTGACTGTTCTTAGCTCAAGTAAAAATCCCCAAATATATTCCACACTGCAGCTACCCAACAGTCAAAAGAGAAACTCAAACTCAACACGGAGTTAATCGCAGCTTCTACCAAATAGTAGGCTTTCCAAACATCTCTGAGCCGCATAAATGACTCCCAGGCAACCTGACAGCAATAGGAACGTCTTTCAAAATGGGAACCAATTCAATGCAAGAATAAACGTGACATTTTGGCAGATCTACAACAATACAGCTAAACAGCCCGTAGCCTGTGATATAATTGTCCCTCATTGGAAGATCTGAGCTTAGTTTTCCATAACTGCAGCAAGATATTTCCAGGTCTCAGCAAATCAGTGGATCATTAACTAAGGTTTTTTTTAGGGGGAAAGGTGGTAAGAATCAGAAACCATCTGCACTGAAACTAAAACCATGCGATGTTATCTTTAAAGTGTGAACCTTTGTTACACATTAAGAGTTACAACATATTGTAGAATGTGGTACTTTGCATTTTTGTACTTTGAACTATGTTCAAACCCCCTATTGAAGGAGCACAATTTTTTTTAAAATTTAAAATGTTCAAAGTTAAATTGGACTGTACTGAAGAGAATTTTAGTTTGAAGGAAAAGGGCAGCAAAACTGATTTCCCACCTGCATTCTGTTCATAGCCTCGCGGAGCTGATCCAGTTGATGAGCTGAGCTGAGGGCCTCGAGTCGGATATCTGTCAATTTCATCTCCTTCTCCCTCAGTTCACTGCGCAGTTGCATTATGGTCTCGGCTTCACCTTCGATGCAATCAGAGATGCTGCACGAGACAGGAGGAGAGATGTGAGCAAAGGAATAAAACGGCAGCACTCAGTCGATCAGAATTTACATCGCGTCTGCAGTGAAATCAAAATTACTTGATTTCACGGGCGGCTTATAATCAATATGTCATTTATTTGATGCAAAGTAACAATTTTTTTCTGAAGTTAAATTAATAACTGGAAGCAATTAAATCCATTCAGCACTCTGGTCACCAGCATTTTCAAACATGGAACAATAAAAGAAAAAAAATCAGGGCTTGAATACATTTTTCTAATTAATTTAATCCTGAAATGAGCATCATCCTGATTTCTGTTTCAAGGGTTATGGAACATGTTAATAGAAAATGTAATTACAAGGCTTTTCTGTCCAGTAAATGTAACTATGCAACAACCATTAAGACTTGTATGTTTTGAATTCAGATGTTGTACACAGAGAGATAATTGAATTGCCAATATAGAGTGGGCTGAAATATTAAGCTCAATAACAATTACGTAAATGTGATGATTTGAAATCTTGTACAGCCCTAACTCTTAATGTTAAGTTACATTTAAAGCTTGAATCACTTAACATTGTCAAGTGTTTTTTTCCATAAAGAAAACAGATGTCTAGTCATTAAACACTCCCATGTTTGACAATTGGTCACAGATACTTGGATAGATGTGAAGCTGCTCAGCAATAGGTCCAGAAAGCAGTGATCCGTATAATAAAGGTGTGCGGTTATAATTAAAGGTGAAACAAACAAGTGAAGGGCAACACAAACAGGAAACTGTTTGATCTCTCTGGACACGCTTTGTTGAATTGAACACTTTGGTTCAGGTGAAAGATCACCACCAAGTGTCCGTTAAGTGCTATTCTTCAGTGGCTTGTAAAAACACTCAGTGAAATACGTACAAGAGTTAAAACGAGAGGGCAGCCAGTCCCGGACCCTTCTTGATCACCCCTGAAGGCAACTTGGACTGCTGCATTTCAGTAAAACTTTTGGACAACAAATCAGTGTTAAACGCAAATAAATGATTTGTTCTGGCTGGTCACAAAAAAAGAACACATGAGGTGCTCAGGCAGAGCTGATGTGGGATGTAAGCACTGCAGTTATCTCAATAGCTATTTTGATACAGCTCATAAATTTAGTCATGCAACAAGCGTAGATGCCTAAATGGCATCTTACAGTGTCCAGGTCAAACCAAATAAGTTATGTTGTAGTGGCAGACAAAAGGACTATAAAAAAAAGTATTCCCTGTTTGGCAGAGGTTTATCTTTGCAAGACAATAGTTTGAGTCCCCCTTCAAGTTTCAGTGCGAAATGATCTCTTTATTGGTGTATTTACCACATTCTAGCAGTGAGAAAGTATAAAAGAGTGCAACAATATGTAGTATTTTACCATGACAATGAAATGCTGGGAATACGACCACTTTGATAGCTTCTGTACACCCAGCCAGGTGCAGCCTTCATTTCCCGCACACACAGGTTAGGAGTAAAAGCACTACACATAGGGACATTTAGATAAAATATGCATTCATAAACCAACTTAGATCATGATCATTTAATGACATGATCGTAATGATCTCCTTACGAATTATCAATCAGGAATTAAAAGAGAAAACTCAAATAAATTAAAGCTGCAATATCTCTGAATCAGCCCACTAAGGAAAATGTACAATTCATTTTTCAACAATGATGGCAGAAGCACAAAAATACCTGAATACATTTTTCATATTTTCCCCGAGATAAAGTATTCTTTACCAACAAAGAGAAAGGAGTTACTCCTCGTGTCCTGGCCAACAATTCCCCAGTTAAAACTGCCATTCAGGTTATTACTGATTGTGCGACATTGCTGTATAAATTGGTTACCCCGTTTGCTTACAAATACACAGTCCTTTATTGCTAATTCCTGTGAAGCTCTTTGAGGCGTCTCGACGACGTAATAAGTCACTCTATCAAATGCAGCTATTATTATTATATTATCAATTCAGTCTGCTAAAACATCATCTAGGATTCATTAGATCATAGTGTTCTCGTACTGCTTTATACATTCTTGTTTGCCTTACTGCAATGAATAAAATGTGTGTTTACGTACAGTGAGTTGGAGTGTGAATTTCTCATCATTGGGGTAGATGGAGTCGATCCATTGTGAGGAAGTTTGGGGGATGAAGGTAAGGATGAGTCAGGCGTGTTCATTTCTTCAATGTCTGAATGAGACGAAGCTGACTTGGGTGACTTCTTTTTGCCAAAAGCCTGTTTGAAGGAGCTTCGTAACTAAACACAAACAGATCACATCTACTCAGCATGAGGTACAGCAAAAAGGCTAGGAAAGAATAGGTGTTAGGTGCACATTATATTTCAGACAACTTTACAACATGTATTTTACGAACATGTTTAAACATATAAAGCTGTCTTAAGGAGTTGATCAATGTTGAATGATAACCCAAAGTGTTGCTACAGAAGTCTCTTTTTAAGAATGAATCAACTAAAAATACAGTGTTATCTAACAGAGAAATGAGAGCTGAAATAATATATGGCTTGAGAAGTAATGCAATTGTTGCAGCTCTGTACAGTGTCCAGCTCTGTGCACTGACCTGAAATACTTTGTTCTGATAAACATGATTTTCGGTAAACAGGCCGCCAGATAAAGGTATAGACGTTATCAGTACATTGCTACATGTCTGGCCAGGAAAATAAATTTATTTCATCTTAAAGTTCCCATTGTGGTAGACCCCATTAAACTGTGGAATTTGGAAGCCAGCCAAAAAACATGCCATACAGAAGAGTATCTTCAATCATAAGTCCCAAAACAATAGCAAGCATTGAAAATGACAGTAATTGCATGGTATTTGAAATGTCCATATTTGTGGAATACTCAGAACAAAATATTATAGCTAATGACTACAATGACTGCATAAGATGTAAATGCCCAAATTTATTTCAATGACCACTGCTTACAATATCTGCGTATTTGAGGACAATGCCACTTATTTTTACACAAACGATAGAGCGCGATACACAGGGGTATTATAACCGAGAGGGAAAGAAAGAGACAGAACTGCACGTTTATTGCAGTGAGCATTCCAAACCAGACATATTTTCTTCTCTACTCATTTTCAATAAATATCCAAGATTGAATACTACCAAATATGCAACTTAAAAGGGGAGATGGTTCATTCAATGGAAATGTCCATAGATCTACCAAAGTCCTCAAGGACTGGCTTGTTTAATTTTAAGGTCATTTTAAAGCATAAGATCATACTTACCTCATAAACCTGCCATGTGGTGTGAAAGCAAAGAGAAAGAGAAGAATAATCTAATTTAATATTGAATAAAGTAAAACAAATTTGTACACAAACGGCCAATCATAGGGTGCGTCTCTTCCTAGTAAACAAAATGATTGAATATATCGAGAGTTAGGTCTTCATTACTCTTAAGTGTAGTTCGTTCTCTGATGTGGCCTTGGAGTTCGATTTTCCGTTCTAATAGGAATTTTCCATAACATGCCAGTCAAAGAATCTTAACAGCACTGAAGGAGGCCATTTGATCCATTCTGCCTGTGTCGGCTCTTTGAAAGAGCTATCCAATTAGTCCCACTCCCCTGCATTTTCCCCATAGCCTTGTAGATTTATTTCCTTATCAACATCACTGCACTTTGCAAAAGGAATTTCTTGTCTCTTGTGCTATAAAAATCTGAGATGGTTTTGTGAAATTTATGTGTAGTTACATTTCGAAGGCGCTTCTAAGAATTAAAGAAATTAGAAGGATCAGAACAAAATACTGTACTTTGCTGCTTTCTGTTGATCCTCATGACTCTTATGTGTAATTTGTAGTGGTCAACAGGACTCTCAAAATTACAGAATCCTCTGTAGCAAATGGTACTTAAAATACATGCATCAACACAAGAGTTTCAGAGACACATAAATAAAGATTTGTGAATGGCAAACTGATGGCAAAGATTCAATGAAAGCGCAATATAACCCCATTGGTACAAAATAGATCTAATCTACACAAAGCAATCTGTAATACTGTAAACTGTTTGGCTTTGGCAATTTCAGGAGGTAAAAAGAAAAACTAAAAAGGCTTGATTTCAAATAAATCCTAGCTAGACTTTTTCAATATTCATCATTTTAAACTATATCCAATCTATGACAATGGTTGTGCTTTCAGATTGGCTCATTATTGTTTCAGGTTCATGTAACCTGACAGCAAACACAAATAAAACCTATTAACCCTTAAAAGTACTGAAAATGCACATAGCATTTAATGTCTGTAAGTGTTCCTGCGGTCACGACGGCGACGACAGATCTGCACTTCATCTTACAGTTTGGTACACAAGTGCGATTAGGCACATTTTATTGTGTAAAATGTTTTCATATAATTGGAATAATAATCAATCATTAAAAATCAGAATTTGATTTATTTATTTGCAGATCATTTATTAAAACTGCTTTTTTAAAATCATTTTTTGTGACATTTTCGTTAACAACAAGCAAATCACCACGGGAAGTAGTTGGTTAAACAGAAATCCAACATCAGGAGTCTAAAACCAAACACTTAGGTTCTGCATAACAGTGAATGCTTGCATTTGGGTATTTTCATCCTTCAAGGGTTAATATAAAGTGCATATTCACCTTGCCTCCTTTACACGGAACCTTGTGCATATGTGATGACAAGAAAGAAAGAAATGTGAGATGAAGGGAAAAAACAATCAATGCATCACGCTTCCTTACAACAAAAAAAGGTGAATGAAAGGACATAGAATTCGGAATCCGGACTCAGGTGCAAAAGGCTTGAACCATACAGCAGTTTCTTATAATATGTACAGAATTTCTGAATGAAGGCTCGAAGGCATCTATTTTTTTGCAATGCGGTATGCAGTTAAGCATAGAAACTTTGCAATCACTGGATCAACCTTTCCGGCCTACAGACAAGAAAGACAGACCGATTCCCGTAGGGCGCTGCGGCCAAAACAAAAGTTGTTAAATGATGATTTTCAGGTGTTTAAAAAGTTCAATCAAAAGCCAATAAACCGTAGATTTACCCAGTTCTTTTTCTTCTTTTTCTTAGAATCCACCTCGGCACTGCTCCCCACGCTGGAGTGGCTAGTGGCACTGTTAATACTCGACACACTGTCTGACGAATGCTGCCTACGGATCCTCAGGTCTGCTGACTGCGATGTCCCATTTCCTGGAGGGAAGCAATTGAACAGCATCAGAAGTGGCTGCAGGTGATCCCTTTATCATATTTCAATACAAAATATAACATGGGAATTTCTAATAACGTAACTTAACAAGTATACCAGAAATATTTCACAAGACCCGTGTGAATGTCACTCTGACAGAATCTATGTTTACAGCCACGTTCCTGCTCTTTACACCAATGGTTTCAGCCTGACTCAGTTGGTACCACTCTCACACCTTCATAGGAAGATAGTGGGTTCAAGCCGCATGTCAGGATTTGAGGTCATAGTCTAGACTGACACACCACTGTAGCCGTGAGGGAAAGCACTGCATTGGTGTTCATGCTGGTCTGTGAATGAGGCATGAAATGAGATCTGTTCAGGTGGAGGTTTAAAGGTCCTATGGCACTATTCGAAAAGTGAAAGGAGTTTCTCCCAGTGTCCTGGCCAGCAACCCCCCCTGATAAACTGGCGATTCACTTCATGCCTGTTTATCAGACATTGCTGTGTACAACTTAATTTGCTGTGTTCAACTACAAAATACATTACTCTCGCCAATCAATCCTATACAGAGCTTTGAGATGTTTCGACAACTTTGACAGGCGCTATATCAGCTGCAAGATTAGTATATATTATGGTGCATTACCTTTACATGACAGCTCGGGAGTGTTGATGACTCCATTTATCGCTGCCTGGGCTGCAGAATTCTGCTTCTTCAGCATCTCTATCGTCTTTCGCAATTCGTTAAGTTCGGAATCCTGAGGATGACAAAAAGCCAGTTATTATCAATCCCCCTGCTTAAGAGCACTTATACTTTTATCCAAGAAGTGACGATTTGTTTTTTTTCAGACTGTACAATAGTTCTATTAATCCCCATAAATTGCTTTCCCCCAACCCTGTTTATATTTTTTGCACGATTCCGAAACCACAAACCTGATCCAACTATAGAATCCTAATGTACAAAACCACATCTCATTTAATTCTACTGTATAAAATTCCTGACTCCTGTTAAAACATACTCTGAATGCTCTCAGACTTAAGCCACGGTGGGTGGTGGGGTGAAGACTGAGTATACATGAACTATCACAAATCCTTTTTACAAATTGAACCATGCCATTTGCATAGGTTTGTGAATGCAAATAGCATGGTTCAATTTGTAAAAGAATTTGTGATAGTTCATGTATGTGCAGTTTTAGCAATATTATAATTTCAAAATACATCCAGACTAGGAGAATGTAGAGGACTCACCTTCTGTTCTGCAGTCATGGTTAAGCTCTGTAACCTTCCTGTCATGTTTGCCAGGCTTTGCTCGAAGGCTGCTACAAGGTGAGCCTGTGTGAGAAAATCACGTTACAATACGATTGTCAAGTTGTCTGTCAATCATGCTGATTGTTATAAAATGCTCCTCACTGAAAGTAATATAAAGAGTGCCATTTGTGGAATACCCAATTATTCACTCCACTTCGCCATGTGGATTTCTATTTGGTTTGGATACTCTTAAGCAAGGTGATGGGTTTCCACATGTATCAAGACTTCCAGCTGAGCACATAAAATCATTTATACCAAGTGTTTCTGAAAATACTCCCCCCTCCCTCTCCTCCCATTCCAACTCAAATCCTCAAGTCTCAGTATAGTGATAAACAACTTCTTATTCTGAGCCCATTGTAAGATTTTCCCTGATGATAATTATTTCCAATGGCTGGAAAAGGATTGATACAGTCTGATCATGGTTTGCAACAAGGTAGGGGCTGCTCTGCCCAATGTGTCTCGACACATTGTTCTGCTGGAGTAACCTTAATGCTAAATACAAAATTATGTTCATTTCTTTACTTTTGCGACTGATTCTACACCATATACATTTGAAATGTTTCATTTAAAAAAAAAGGTTGATCAGGTTATTCTGGGTGGTCTGATACAAATGTGAGATATTCCTTGTTACAGACGTACAGGTATATTTCTAACAGCTCTTTGATGCAAATCTTGTGTTGATAGCGTGATAAATGGTAAATGTGTTGTTGATGCACGGAGTAGGACTTTTGGGTATTGAATTTGTACGTTCTATCTTTTCAAGTCGCTCCATTATCATCGAGCTCAATCACGCTGGGTATGTACGGTAAATGCAGGTTTATTTGGTTAAATTACATTGCGTAGCTGACAACAGTGACCTTTGTTCTGCTCATTTCCAATTCAATTATTACACCGTGTTTTGAAGTGTTGATTTAATGATTTCTAAAGATGAGCTCTGATGGAAGAACAACCGTTATGGACGAACAGCTTCAACGCACACAGAAAATGAACCAAAGCCACATAAAATTGTACTGGATTAGAATGTCTCCAGGATGTCAACAAAGGCTGGGAGACCAGTCACCACTGTACTCAAACAAATCAGCACTGAACCATTACCCTCATCGATGGGTTGGATGTTATTATAGTTCTACGTTTTTTTAAAATCAAGTCAGCATTAAAACAATCAGTGAACCACCAAATGTTCTTAATGAATCCAAAGAGCAACAGTAAGTTAAAGCTCTCATTCAATTTCAACTCAGTAGAAATGAGAATTAATATTCATGACGGAGACATAGTTGGATAGTGTGGGAGTTTATTTGGGTACAAAACAAGCCAGCGTATCCACCATTTGTTTATCTAAGTCTCTCAGTTGTGCGTGTAGTAACTTTGCGTGTGGATGTGTGCCAAACCATGTTTAACCCGAGTTCAGCATAATAAATTTGGCACTGCACCAGTTTGATATTTATGGTCCAGGCGCCCAAAACAGCAAATGCTTTTTTTCCTCCAAAAACAATCCTTTGATGTCTACAAACTTGATTGAATACTTTGCTGCACTATTTGCTCTCATTTGCAATGTTCTCCTGTCCTCCTCTTTCAAAAAATCTGCAGTCTCAATCTGGTTATCAAAGAGGAGGATAAGGTACAATATGGTTCTCAAAGCGCGGAATCAATCTCGGCCTTCGCAGCACTATCTGTCTCTGGCTCTTCTGACTTGCCTTGTTTGTACTCTTCTCAAACATTCCCTTTCTCCAACTCCATGTTTGCTCCTCGATCCTTATCCTCCGCCAGGCAACACATAAATGCAGGTGGTACAACACTGCTTGGGGCTTCTTTGCTGCCAACACCTGAATAATGGGCCCAATGTTTGCCTACTGGTTTATCTCATTTTAAATTCATGGCATCAATAATTTTATATTTAATGTTATATTCTGAACAAAACAATAACTTCAGTGCTTTACAGCAAAGCAAATGCACCATAACATTCCTCTTCATGGATTTAATTTGTATGTAGCCTTATTTCAGTCTTTGGTTTATTCTGCAGCACTCCGCTACTTAACTGCATTTATTCTCTGTAACTAAAATATTCTAATCACATATTATTTCACTTCTGTAATAGTTTTTTCTATTTGTAACACTCTTATCTAATGTGGTGATTTTCCTCCCTCACCATTAACATCTTGTTTAGATTATTTCAACGATATGTTGCCAAGATTCATCTCCGAAGCAGTAGCAAAGTAGAATTTTTTTTAAAAAAATTCAGAAAATGGCATTCAAAGGCTATTTGTGTAGAAACATTAGTTTCTGTGGCAGCCTATTTCATTCTATAGGATTGAAAATCACGTTGCACCAATACAGTATTTTTTACCGTTATTGACAACAAAACTAACATTAAAGAAATAATCCCACCTCATTCACATTTGCAAATGGATATGCTGATTGATGTTCACTGGAAATCTTGTACTGATCACGGCAATGGACACCGTGAGACAGCTCTGAAGGTTGACTCTTGGCGTTCCTCTTCTGCACAGAGGGGTAGTGGTTGAGGTTTGGCCAGGGCAAAGTACTGGCTCGTTTGTTTGGAAACTTCACACCAGACATTTCTGTTCGTTTGTGTGTCCAGCTTTTAGAAGTAGCAGCTCGATACCAATGAAACAACAAATCCTTGGTTTAATAATTTACGACAATATATCCATCTAGGACCCAGCAACAAAACGCTCTGCTTCAGGGAAACTCAAAACTATTTGAAACTTCATCTTCTCTGAACGAAGGTCAGCGTTTCCCAAATTTGCCCCTCAGTTAAGTCTCCAGTCTCAAAAGGTTATTGTTGCCGCTGAAGAAATGATTTCTCATTCATTCCAAGTATTGTAAGAATGGCTGTTACTTCAAAAGTAAACCAGAGAGAGAGAGAGAGAGAAAAAAATAACACTTCTCGAATCAATAAGTAGGTTCCAAGTGCACTGAGAAGGGTTCTGCTCTCCTTGCTCCTCTGTGCTGCCTGAGGATCAGTGCGAAAGAGTATCAGTTTTTATTCTGCGGTTATAACCTACACAGGGGCAGTCCCAAAAAATGTTCAACCTCAGCAGCCACAGCCCAGGCCAGAGTGAAGCTCCTTCACGCAGAACTCAAGAGGATCAAATGTATGTAAACATGCGGGTGATAGGAAGCACTCTGATGTCACAAACAAGTTTGCGGATGCTGGCTGGCTGAGACATAACTACACCCAGAGAATGATATCCAGATTAATCACTGTACCTGACAGTTTACCACGAGGGCTACAAAACTGCACTTTCCTGTGTTCAACTCACAATCCGAATAACCGTCGTCAACAAGCTACGCTGACTGTGGAATAAGAATAGAAACAAGATCTCTCGCAAAGCTATGCTCTTTTTTTAAAAAAAATCACTGTATCTATCGCAGTGACCTTACAATGGAAGTCAAGAGACAGAAGCAATGCCTCACACCTGAACAGGCAGTGGCCAATGCATTGTTCCTTAAATGAAGTGAACTGCATTAGCGATCTTCCCAGAATTAGTTCAAAGCCCAACTACTTTGATTTCTTATGCTAACAGTTTTATTTTTAGTAGCTGAACGTGAAATCTCATGCTCTCCTTTGCACAGAAAAGAAAACTTATTCTTTGTAGCCTGAATCTGGGAAATAAAATGAGTTCAGTCCAATACGAAACCACGGTTGCAAGCCATTCCACCAAAAAAAATCCTGAATCCACATTGCCTTACAACTCTCATAGAGCAATATCCAGCTAAACAACAAAAATAAATCTTGCTTATTGGTTGGAATCATTTCATATTTCTCTTCCTTTTAACCTTTCAAACTAATAGAATAAATCTTTGAAAGCAGATCAGACATGGTCTCTTGAGTAGTTGGGGTGGGAGGGGGGCGTGGGGGAAATTTTTTTTCAGACCAAAACTTTTAATAGTATAACAATACTAAATAAACAGGGACTTGATGGTAGATTTCAGTATTTGTCAAGCTTAAGTGTCAAATAAGTTTCAGAGCTCGTGCAATTCCAGGGTTCCCTGCAATTGTCTGCTGAGTGATGGAGATTGCAATGAACAGTAGGAGAAAGATTCCACCTGGCTCCAGATTTATTCTATTTCTTGCAGCTCTTTAGAGCAAATTAGGCAAATTCTTAAATAGAGCTTTCATGGTGAAACTCTTTTCTGTAACTTTCTTTAAGAACTCCATCCATAAAGCTGGCTTCAAAATTCTAAATTGAATTCAATGATTTGCCAAATTCTGGATGCTCTGAAATGTGAAGCGAACAGAGCAAATCAAGACCCAGGCAGAATTTTTCCTCAAGCATCCACAAAAAACTCCAAGAAGCCCTTAAGCTCACCCAAAAATACTCTGCTGTTAAAGGATGGTCATCCAGGCACTGTAGTAATAATAACAATAATAACCCTTGCATTTGATATAGGGGTTTATCACATCTTCGAGACATCTCAAAACGTTTCACAGAATACACTGTAAAGTGAATTGACTGTATATTTTGTGGACGAAACGTGGCAGCCAATTGCGCACAGCAGTACTAAATCATTCGCAAATTAGTCCACAATCTTTGACTGATGGAGTATTCCTTGACTTACCGAGTGCTACAAAGCTCCCAATTAAATATATTAATAGCACAGGACAAAAACACTATGCTCTTTCTGATGCTGTCAAGATGCTTTTTTTTTACTTGTAATATGGCATATTATTTTGAAACTGGATAGAAACTCAATTAACCTTGCTGACATTTCTCCTGAAGAAAACTGGGAAAAATAAATTGGATTATGTTTCTAATCATTCGGAAGACTGGTTTTGACAGGATTCCCCCCCACCCCACATTAAATCGGTGTTGCAAAGTCCGGTTAGAAATAAATAAGTGCATTTCCAAACAACAAACAGGAATTCTGGAGACAAGAAGCAACAAACACCCTGGAATGTCTAACAATTTGCTACATAGGTTTGGCAGACTTTGTCAATCAACACCATCATTGAGTCATTACTCGAATATACTTGTACAAAACTGCAAAGGAAAATTCCATTAGAAAATCTTAGGCCTGGCAACCCATCCCACTGAAGCTTCCAGACATATCCGTTCAGTTGCAACCTTTCGAGAGTAAGGTTATCAACACATTATGAGACGTTTGTAACACGGCTATGGTCATGGGGTGATTAATGGGACAGCAGCGAACAGGGCACAAGGGAGCAAAGTGACCTTCAGTGCCACAGCTGAAAACCATACCGGTTTGTGAGTGAAAGAGCTTGCGATTTATTCCCCCAAAATTCAATGAATGACATAAATAAAAAGATCAAACAACTTTTTTCCCCCAAAACTAGAATTAACTTAAGAATGAAGGTTGCAGTGACCATTTTTTTGGTTGTGTGAATTAAGCATTGCCCTTAAGATTGACTCCCAGTGTTACAAAGAAACAAGACCAGAAGAAGCTGTACTGGCGAAAATCACTAATTGGCGGGTAAAAGTTAGTTTTGATGATTTTGGGGCATGTATCAACAAATTCACTTTACTCAGACAGCATCTTTCTAACATTGCCTTGTCACTGAGTGAAAAGCACTTATCACATATCTGAGTGTCTCCAGTATTTTCCAAACATAGGATACCAAACATACTGTACTTATCTGTCTTGGAAGCTCTTGTCACCTGTCTGCCAAATAGGTCATTTGCTAAATGAATAAAATACCAACATGCCCCGGGGAAAAAGAAAATATAGTCAGCAGTATCACTGTCTTGGAATTTAAGCCTTTTTGTACAACTCAAGTCTGCCATCACCACATGAGATGACATCAGAGGCGAAGGGATAATTGATTGTGCAGGAAAACAATGCTCTCCCTTTCACCTTCTGCCCCTGAAGGTGGTGACTCATGCTCCGTCCGAATGGCTCCGTGGGCATGAACAGCCCTCCAGCACCTCGCCTGAGTGGGCGTTCTTCATACGTGTGGGCCTGTCAATGAGCAATTCCAGTCTGTTTAGCCATAGGGGAGCAGGGCATGATAACCAAACTATCTCTTTGATTTCACCTGATAGCTACAGACAAGCAGTTTCTGTGAAGTTTGCAAGATCGCAGTCAGGAGGAAAACCTCCTGCTGACTTTTCTCCCTCTCTGGATTCTCAATCGCTCCACAGGCTGTCTTCATCTCAACAACGCATAGGCAACCCACTGTCAGGCATCTGGTAGTGACTGCTTGCTAAGTAAGTCATGAGTCCAGCTCAGCAGGGACACTCTCTTCCTGTTGGATGTGCCTGGACTTTGTTTGGGAACTCCTCACAGCAGCAAGATTTGAACCAGAGCTCACAATGGGCATCCTTCCTCCAGCAGACAGGAGTGTCTTACTTTACACGCTTTCTTTAATCGTCTAATTCTTTAGCAAGCACTTCAATGCACATCCAAAACCCTGCCTCGAACTACTAGGTGTGAATGAGCACACAAAAGTGCCTCACCTCTCCACTTTCTCAGTTCATTCTTTCCATGCCTGCGAAATCCCTTCGGGAAATTCTACAGTTCAGATGCACAACTAATGACATGCACCTGGACCATCACAACAGGGCTTTTTCAACACTCCTGCTCTCATGCTTACAAAGAAAACACTCAGGGATCACTAAGGAATAGCAGCAAGGACAACACTTTTATAACCAAACAAAAACAAAATGATCACTTTCAGAAGTACTTGTGCCAAGAAAAACTCAAACACACTGAAAGGTTTTGCCTCCAGACAGGGTGATGAGAGGTAACAAGCAAAATCACTCATTTGCTCCTGCTAACATTAAGTGGTTTGGAGGTACATATACAGCACAGACTATGCATTGAGAAAACACCCGAGAAATTAAAGCTGGATATAACCCTTCCTCTTTGTCTGGCAAACCAGAAATGTGTCGCCAACATTACAATAATGTCTGTTGTAAAACAATGGCTCTTATATTTAGGGTCACAGCTCAATGCAGTGACTTTGGCACATTGCGCAACATGCAACTGTACTCTCAGTGAGACAATCAGGACTCAATGAAAGGCTCCTCTCCAAACTATGGTAACCTTTGCTTCTTTTCATACTTGACCTATGAATCCATTGCCGACTTAAAGTGATGTTCCACATGTAAACATAGGGTAAAGATGCCCACAGTGCAGATCAAACCTCATTAGAAAGAGCAACATAATCCTGACCATTAACATCCTTTTGTCAACATTGGTTTGAAATGCCAATGTTGTGGTTTCCTCTTTGCTTACTTATTAAGAAGCAAAAGCAACTTTTCACAGTTGACTAACCGAACCCATTCCTCTGAGCGATTGAATGTGGATTTGATGATAGCTGCATTGAATAGCGAAACATCCCCAGAGCCACACACACAAACAACACACATACAGCCAAAAGAATAGTAATGCTCACTCACATTAGCAGACAGCTGAGTTGTAAGCGCTGCCACTTTCTCCTGGGAGACATCCAATTCTCGTCGAAGTTTGCGGATCTACAAAACAAAATGTCACCAAACATTTGTGAAACCCCTGTGTTATAAACGCAAAATGCTTCCGAAAACATTTACTGTCCTTTCCCTCCCTCGAAAGGTTTGGGTCACATAAAAAGCATACTAACCTCCGATTGGGATTTTTCCTCAGGCTGTAAAAGAAAGAAAGAAAAGGAAAATGTTAGTTTTTCAAAAGGACCAGATACACTAAAATAAGATTGTAAAGTATTAAATCAATGAAAAACATGATTTGAAAAAAAATCGATCTGCCATCGATGCAGGTTATTCAACAGTTGAAAACTTCAATATTTTGTTGCATTGAGGAGACCATTTGATGTCATCGTTTATCTGCGGTACGGTTCCTTGGGTGCCAACAATTAACAATGGCTATGGCCCTCATGTATTGAGAGAAATCAGAAGTCGAAACAGCCACGTACAAGAGATGAACTTAATACCTGTGTTGTATTTACTAAATAAAATATAAAGTGCATGTTTCAAAAAAAATCTGACATTGTGAGAACTTTTCAAAATTTTGTAAGACCCAGCATATCTAAGAAGCACGCATATACGTATGTGTTCAACAACAGCAAAATTACATTTATAGAGTGTCTTTCACGTCGGGAGGACGTCCCAAAGCACTGGGATGCTGTTCATCCTTCTAACTCAAATTAATTCCCTATTTCAGTATAAACTTGTGTACAAAGCTAGTGGTCCCTACACAACATCCCTCCAGTTAGGGTTGGGCAACTGTGTTTTCACAGAATAACAAATAAGGAAATTACAGGAGCATTCAACTTAATGGTTAGCTTCAGGCAATTAGTTCTCCAATTGGTTTATGAACATTGACTCACTGCCGTATTTGGGTTCACATAAAATCCCCAACATTCGACTGCCAACAGAACTGGGCTCTCGAAAAACAGCCCAGCTGACAGCCAGAGGCCTCATTCAGTCTTAAAGCTGACAACACTCCATAATAACCTCATTTGTATGAAGCAACTTAATTCAGTAGGATTTCACGTCCACACAGTATAAGAATCCTCGCTTATATTGTAGCTTCAAGCACAAGCCGCTGAAGAACCAGCCGTTTTGAATTTAAAACACGTGATCTATAAACAAATGCATCGATGGAAAAACATGCCATGTTTAAAAACATCCCGATTTAAATATGATTTGAATCGAGCCTCGGTGGATAAAGAACTGATTTGAATGCTGGTCTGCCCCCGACTATACTTTGCTCCAGAGTGTATGCGTGACTACAAATCTGACACACAACCAGCAGCCTGTCATGCCTAAATGCACTGGTCCGTTTAGAACACGTATGCAGACCCGGTTCGATTTGTGTTCGTAACGTCATGAGTTTGAATCGTGAATATAAACAGGGGGATTATAAGGCACAGAATTGCGAATTTATAAATTGAGCTGGTGTTTTTTACCTACACTTTGCTCAGAACCACAGCATATTCATTTAAAGTCGTATTTGCCGGTGTTTTCCCCAGGTTCCAACCAGTGCATCAACAGAGCATGTCAGCACTGACAGGAAAATCTAGATACTCCATCATTTATGAAAAAAAATTACTGATCCCTGTATTGTTCCGACTGAGATCTGTAATGAGGAAACTCAATTGTAAGTAAATGTCAAAGCTGGTCTTCTCCCTGATTACTTTGTTACGTGGTTTCTCTTTTTTAAACAATAAATTTAAAAAAACCTGCACTAATTCCAACACAAACAAAACATCTTTTATTGTTTTAGTTACCCATTCTTCATTTTTTGACATGTAATGATTAACTGAGCTTCCTCATTACAGACATCAGTTGTAACAATTCAGGTATCAGTCAGTCATAATTTTCCTCACTATGACAGAACACCTAGAATTCCCTGCCTATGTTGTTGTAAATGGTGTTAATTGTTGCTGCTTTTTAGTGTAATAACAATAAGTAAAACTAATTAGGAATATGCAAATGCTTTGTATCTTTCTTGCTACCGGATTTCCCCTTTCTAATTCCTATTACAGTAGAAATGACTGACAATATAACCTATATGTGAATGGCCCTTTGTTGGAATAAAGAACAAACCCCTTTGGCTTATATCCCAATGTTTGGATTGGGTTGTTACCCAGAGTTACAAAATCTAAAGGAGATTTGAGGGAGGACATCAAATTCCATGGGCTAATGCTCAATTTCTATCATAATTTTGTATTAATTTGTGGCGACTACAGCTAGTTGTACAAATGAACCATGTGGTAATTGTCATGAGATGATGATGACAATGACACGTTTTCTTGTGTTTATCAACTCTATTTTTTTGCGCAAAAGCAACAGGGAAGATAGAAAAACAAGGGACTGCCAAGTGATTGGGCAGGAAAACAACACAACAAACAAAATCCGCAACAACATTTTGCCAAATGATCAAAGCAGATCAGAGGACTCAAGTTTATTGATGTTATAACAAACTTCCCCAATTTAATCCATTTCTGTCACTGAAATAGATCCTGTAGGGAATGAACGAGAGTCCTTTATAACCATGCCAGGAAAACTGTGATACAGTATAAACAAAAAACATTTCAGTGAGCAAGCACACTAAGTCACAATGACAGCGATCGTTGTTATACCTGATCTTAACGTTCAGTTTCTCACATGGATTACAAAACCTGTACATGTCTGCTTCAGTTCTCATTCCCCCCTCCCAAAAAAAATCCATTGAGCACTTAAATCTAATAACTATATTTGAAAGGAGCAAGTACAAGCAAAGTACTGTTATCAGATTTAATTTGCTGCTTTTTCATCAAGTTCATTTCAGATCAATTAATTCAGGCAAGAGCAGCATCCTTCTTTTTGTGTCCAGGGCAAAAACTCAAAACACTTTCAAATCAAATGAAAAAAATACAGCTACAAATCTTGCGATGATCTTTTTCACGTAGTCACTCTGCCTCGTATCTTACATGAAAGATTGAAAGACAGAAACAACAGCGCGAACGGTACTCTTTCATCCTTGAAATAATTAAACTAAAAGGGCATAGGGACACAATTGATTGTCCCATGATTTCATAACGTTAAGCATCTACACAGACAGACCTTTTGGAGTTCAATAAATTTGATACACCTTATCAAGGTGGAACTCCTGTTGCCTTCATTTTATCACTATCAAACCACAGCGGAAAAAAATCCTTAAGTAGATTTGTTTTACCTTCCAACCGTAACATCAACGAGCTCTATTTCCATCATTAGCTTGACAAAAATGCTGCACTATTAACCTACCATCAGCTCCCTGGATCTCAGAGTCCTTGTGAGCATCATGGTTGCCATTCTGCTGAAACTGTTTGTTTAACCAGCGTCACTGATGTGATAGAAATTGTTCAGGAGAACGAACTCCAGAAAACAGCACCTGCGTGCGCTCTCAGATGTCTGTAGACCTGTGCGGTGTTTGAATTTTATTGGATCGACAATATTGTCATTATGTCAGTCAGGATACTCAAACGAGCTTCTGTGTAACCAACAGCTACATTGACAACATGGGGTGTGGTTACACTTTGTGCACGCAATACATATCAAACCCAATCAGTATGTATTGAGGCCACTTAATACTTTGCTTGGGAGGCAGATATTACATCAATTGTAAATGTATGCATTTAAGTCTGTTCTGTCTCTCCCCATAAGGGGCTGGGGGAAGCAGCAGAGTGGAATATTGACTCTCCATCCGGTAAATGAAGAATGGCAGAGCTGGAACAAGCCCAAAAGTGTAACTGCTCCATGTAAATAAAGACAGCAGAACCCAGAGGCAGGGTTGCCCTGGTCCCTCTATTAGAGTGCAGTGCGAAGAGATAGGGGACAGGTCTATCGTGGTTTGTGAGAGAGTCACATTTCTTTTTTTCTGATACAGTTTGGTTTTCATGAGACAAGTGTAAATATATATTTTTACACCAATAAATATTTATTTTTTAAAAAATCGATTGTAACAGTATAAAATCTATGTTTAGATATAAAAGTTACATTATTGCATATAAACATTGAAGTAGTTAATAATAATTGGCTTTCTGACCAGTAATAATTCCCCATGAATACTAGAGTATTGTGCAAGATGGTTGTTAAAATGCAAGGGGAAGGCCTCAATTCCCTTTTCTACCTATTGACAAGATAATTGCTGGGTGTATACAGTTGTGCTCGGAAGCAAAAATAAAAGTTTTCTTGGAAAAAAACCCCCACCATTTCTGATTCTACACTGAAGCCAAAGAGGAAAGGAACAGAAAGATCAAAGCTTCAAAAAGCTGACGAAGCAGAATGGGGTTAGGCATATTCCGTATCCATGCTCATTATTCACTTTAAACACTATCTGTCTGTAGGAGAAAGGGATCAAACAAACATGCTTGAATTGTAGGCACTTACTGTTGAGTAAATGGAGGATGTGCTGGAGACCAGAGACAGAGATGACCCATGAACTGTGGAGGATTCCAGATTCCAAGGAGATTAGGAAACAAAAAGAGAGGATAGAAAATTCATTAGTCAAGTCAAACCATGTAAGGAGAACTGTTTAATCTGGTGACTCTTTAGTGTTTTACCAAAGTAAATGTTTTAAGCTGTTACTATTTAGTTAACAGATCAGAAATGTCATCAAACAGCTTTTCTGGTTCAATACCAATTCTGTGAGCCATTAATGAAATGTATTTACAACAAGTGAGTGTGGATTTGCTCCTATCTTGTGCTTAAATCTTATTGCGTCACTAAATACTTAGATTAACAATTGCATAAGTACACAAAGACACGTATCTTTTAAAAGAAGTCTGCGATTCTTCCTGTTCTCAACTGTTTTAATAGTAGAATACTGTGTGATGTGACCAACCTATGCTACTGTACAAGTGTAAACCTGTAAATTCTCCTTCACATCCATCGTCATTTCAAAGGATATCTTGCAGCTGTATCTATAAATTAAGTGATACAAAATCATACCGCAAAGGAGATTCAACAACACCAAATAGTTAAGGTTTTAGCTGTGAATCACTGACCTGTAGAAGTTGTGTTGTGATCCAAGAATCAATTGCAATTGGAATCTTCCCTCTTTTAAATCAAACTCAAGTTGCATGACACAGGAATAACAAGCGCAGTTACACAACGCTCAGTCAAGAGAAAAGTGGCCCTACTTTTTAAAATGTTCCGGGTCTCAGTCTGTTACAAGGTTTGAGCGGGTTCAGTTATCCAACACAAAAATACAGTTGGATATTCATCTCTCCTCTCCCTTTCCACAACAAGAACAATATGAGCATTCAGAAAATCGAGCAACACATTTGTGGCTGCTCAGCCCTGCTCCCAGTTGAAGTTGAACTGCGTTGCGTAAACAATGGAAGTCACAGGATGAGCAAGTACAAAAACGGTCCTCATTCCATTGAAAGGCGTGCCTTTGTCTAAGTTTATAAAACACAGCTGCCTTGAAACATAAGTGGTTGGCGTGTGGCGAGCTCTTCTGCAGGTAAAGTTGGCCCACTTTGAAGCGCGGGAGGGATTTCTACCTGCAGGAAAATGACAGCGGCAGCAATAGATCAAGTTTGCCACTAGCCTGACTGCCTGAGCCTCCCACTCCTCTGTGTGCTCACAGCACACACTGGCACCAAGTCATCCCCAGCTATCCACTGTCTGGACGCTGCTACTGAAAGGAGCATCTACTTTTTGAAAATATTTATATATATTTAAAATGTATATCTATATTTTTAAAAAGAACTCTGAACATTTCATCAGTTCTAATACAGCATTGCGTCAATATTGCTCAAGAGGCAATGGCATTGATAAAATGATAGAAAAAGCTTTGCTGTACACCCAATGCAGCTTGGAATAGAAGGCCTATAACAACAACTTGCATTTATATAGCACTCCTCATGGAGGGTAGCAGCCCAGAGCTCTTGACCGTGGCAAATCAGACCATAGATCAAGTAGACTTTTGTGGCTATCTTTCTTGGTTGTTTTGATTTCATTTTTGTCTTTTCTTTAAAACAATGTATAGAAGGTGAAATCTGAAGTCAAATCTTGGTTCTGATTCTATAAACTCACCTTTTGGATACATTTCCCAAGAGTAAACTGGTCAGTTGTAGAGAGCAGAAGCCAACTGATGGGTTCACTGAGTTTATTTATACTGCTATAGGAGAGCAAACTTCTGTTACTGGGTTAGCACCAGAGCAACTTCTCCCATTTTGTACTCAATTCATTACTTACTACATGAATCTTTAAATCGTGCAAAGGTCAATTGACATGAAAAACAGTTTGAGTCAGGTTTGAGGCACATGATTACAAGGCAATTCATGCTGAAGCCTGCTGGGGAAAAGTTGGCTTCATCGGAGAACCAATTCACACTGCAGCAGCTTAAATGCTGATAGTGCAAAAGAAATTTTAAGCACCCAAGTAGCTTCTGAAATCCAGCTGGTTCTTTAAAAAATAATAAAACCACAGCAGAATTCAGTGATGATTAGCGCAGCTCTGCACAAAGCTAAGCCACCAACCAATGCGATTCCAGAGGGGAAATGTAAACCAGGCTTTTCTTTTCCAAATAACTGTACTGCTCAACGTGACATTGTCTCACCTCCAGAGCATAAAAATGTTCCATTGCAAGTTGGAATTCTCTTCCTCTTCCAGACACAGTGACTCAGACTGGGGTTTGCTCATAGGGGCTCCAGCAGTCATGCCTGCACCCTATATCTATCCAAAAGAACTTTGGCTAAGTGAGACTCTCCTATCCCAGGTATATGCAGGTCAGTTCTAATACCCCTACCACTGTCTCGACTGAGATCAGCAAACACCACAACATCATCAGACTTGGCACCTCCAGTCTGTACATCTGCCTTGCTTATTCATCGAGCTTGTTGAGGCAGCCTTGTGAAGGAATACTTCTTATCTCGATTTCAATGCACCCGGGCTGTTTATGCACTTTTTTTGCTCATAACAAGACAGTTCTTAGCTTGCTAACAGCTGCACTGAATTTTTAACATCTGGTTCATTATGGGACCAATCCTGCCTTTCATATGAATAGTGCCCTTACCAAGAGTTCTCTATAGGTGTCAAACTTTGAGATTTTATTACTTACAGATATAAATTGTCTAAATATATCTACACATGATCAGCAGACTAGCCCTTCTGCGGACAATGCATGTCCTTACGAGACCCCCAAGTGGTGTCTTTTATCTGAAGCTCAATTCAAACTGCTTAACATCCGTCCCTGGAGCATGCTTACCACATTAAGCTACTAAAAGGAGCACAATTGAATTCTGTTCTAGTTAGCTGATCTAACGCAGGGGTAACACTATAGGGTGCTACAATTAAGCTAAGTGCCTTCCTTACCACAGGATATGAAGAGGGTTCCCTAACCAAAGGCATAAAAATTGCATCTCGTCTTAAGACTAGTAAAACTATTCTCTGTTACAATACAATTGCCATTGTACTATATTGTCTTCAAGTTTAAGAACGTGCAGAATTGTGGAAAATTCCTGAATTCAGTTTTAATTTGGAAAACGTTTTTCCTCAGTTTACTAAAGACTTAGCTTTGGCTTCTAAATTAAGATTGACTTGCATAATTGATGCCTTTCAGAGAGGGGTAGAGGAGGAAGCCAGCAAATAAAAACCTGCAGTCTGTCAGACCACAGGTGGTCAAATAAGGTACTATTTAGTGCCCAAGGACAGTGGAAAAATTGCCAACAAATATGTGAAAAGCTGAAAAAACAGTGGCAGTCACCTTGAATTTTTTCAGAGTTGATTATTCCCACATGCAGAAGTGCATGTTTTGACTAATGCGGAGAAGACTGCGGACTCCCTTCAACAGAATGGATTGTGAACCCATTTTAGTGCTACAAGTTAGATTATAAAGCACTAACATGCACTGGAATGTCCCTCACATCCTGGTACTCTTTGTATGTGTCTCTTTACTGTTATTACACGTTGTAAAATTTTTTAAATAAACAGCTAAAGAAAAGAAATGCATGCTTGTGACTTTGTTTGCATTATTCATGCAGTGAATAGCTGCCGTAAATCCATCCACCATTTCGCACAAGCATTCACTGCATTTCAATGTCTTCGTATACCATAGAACTAGATTAGAGAGAGAGAGAAATGGCTAAAAATAGTATCTGTAGTGGTTTATAATTCAATCAGTGCCTCTCGAGCGACAGAATTCTGACTGACTGACTGAACACTGTCCATTCAGATGTAATTAATTGTCAAGTTCAATGGAGGATACGCTCAGTTGATGCTAATACACAAGAGCATGTCAGAACCAGGATAGCGTGTCAAAACCAGTCTCTTCTTTTCAGAACTCAAGAGGCAATAAAGAGCTCTCTGCTACTGTCTGACCCTCAGCAGCAATTGTTATCGAGCCATAGAGGCACCAAGAAATAATACGGTGGTTGGAAACTGCAAGAAAAACAGTGATCAAACAGTCATAATGGATTCTACCTGTGTTTTGCCAGAGGATTGAAGATCCAAGGTTTGAAGGAAAAGAGTGCTGCCTTCACGGTAGCCAAAGTGCTGCTGCAAATTTACAGCGCAATTCACTTCTGTACTGACTTTCAGTATGGATGCCAAAAGCAGCTGTGTGTAACTAGCCGTCAGGAATTCATAGTCATTAGAACTCAAGGTAATAACACACTCACCACCAATTAGTCTAAGACGCTAGGATAATGATGCAGTTGCTAATTTCGCCTGAAGTCTCGAACAACTAGCAAAAAAAAACTAATAAGAAAGAGCTTGGCCACTTAAATGTTTTTCCATGAGTATCACTGGACGAAAAATGCACAATTTTCGCAAACAGAACCCACCATCAAAGGGTTAAATTGGTTTCAATTGCCAACAAAGAGCTTCATTGTGAGGGTTTCGATGGGAAGCGTACATTGTTTGCAACTAGTTCAACGGAGCTGTTGTCATCTTCCTGCAGACACCCCAGTTATTATTTACATCCTGACATATTGAACGATTATGACAAGCCAGTCACGACTCTCTAGGCACATCTCTTAGCTCTTGCACTGAAGTCTGGCCTCAGAATTTGAGTACTACTCAATTTCAGCTCATGCTGCAGTGGATTCCGGTGTGAATCCCCCAGCTACTATAATCAATAATCAATAAAGCACTTCTTTACTGCTAAATGCGTTATTGATGTTAAATGCTTTGATCCCGTTTACCTTGCTCAAAACATCTTGCTCATTCATTACAAATGTGCTGTAAAACTAGGATGAAAAATTATTTTAGTGAAATGAAATGTCTTTGTGATCTTCTGCAGTTGTGACCACGTTTAAACTACTTGATCGGGCGATGGATTTTTTTTCAAAAAAAACTTCTCCCAGAATCTCTTCCTATACAGTATCCAGCTGTTGAAATACACTTTGTTTGCATTATTCATGTGGTAAATAGCTTTGAAGGAAGTGGTGAAACTGATACACCCATGCCTCCTGGAACATAGACTCAAAGTATACTCTGCTGTGTATTTCAACAGCTACAATGCACCGATCCACTAAGGAAAACACAAACATCTGCTCTGATGTCTCAGGGGTAAAAGCAGCTCATGGTATTAGCCGAGGCACACCGAGCAGTTCAGCAGTTCATCTCCCGGTCCATGAAGTTGTCCAAACTCATCTGGGACAGTGATGGGGTTACAGTTGGGGAAAAATATGAAGATTTCTCATCCAGCTTATCACTGTCCAACAAGCCCCTGGTGAAGTGTTTGTGTGTATGTATGTGTGCAGCTGTTAGTCTTGAACAACTACAATGTACTCTACAATTGAATAACACACCAGCACTTACTGTCAACAATTTACAAATTAAGTATAACCTTTAAAGACTGGAGAGCTGCCCACAGCTACGTGACCAGCCAACAGCTTCAGGATAAGGAAGGGGTGGGTGGATAAGTAGTTTATGGGTGGGTGGGGGAGAGGGTTTGGAGAAACATAATCCCATACAATGACTAAAACTGTAAGGGCATTGGTTGAGGAATGTTGCTCATTTCTTAGGTAGTTCAGATTTCTAAGCGCCGTTCAATAACGGTACCACTGGACTATAGAAACCAATGTTCAAGTATCATGGGATGTCAACCCTCTGTGCTCTGGTTGCTCGACAGTGTTCTTCATCTGAACGAGTAAACCAGTGGTTCTCCAGTCTCGCAATGGCCCAAAGGCATGGGAGAATTTCCAAGTGCAGCTGTGCAATAAATCAACTCTTGACATCTGTGGTGATATCATCTAAACCTCTCTGGAGTTGCACATAAATATTTCTGGGTCATTTATGCCAATAAAACTAGGGGCATTTATCAACACTAGAAATAAGTGTCAAAGTCAAGCCTCCATTTCATAGTGAGGAAGCAAATATTTCTTAGAAATCCAATATACAGCACTAGGCATACATTTTCAGCTGTTGAACTGAAAAGAGAAAGTGCATTCAAGGAGAATTTGGGATTTGTGGCTCTATTTCCTTTTCTTTTCCCAAACAAAAAAATGTATATTGCCTCCAAAGTGTCCAATGAATGGTGAGAATCTATGTGTCAAACCCAGTGGAAAAAGGTGTAACCTCACCTATCCCAGCTTAAAAATGTGTCACTTTATTGTATTCACGATCCATTTATTCGAATCAAATAGGTTTGTCAACAAAAATTCCTTCCTCTTTATTTAGCAGCATTTTTAAGGCAAGAAAACAAGCCTTAAAATGGTGCTAAATGAAAAGAACTCTGTCAACTAACGATTCCTTTTTTTAAAAAACTAAAACTGCACTGAATGACATTCAAATAATTCGTTTTGTTAATATTATGGTAACTGCTGCTCATTTTTTAACCCTTGGATTTTGGAAAAGTTGCACTGATCAACTTTTTTCAGATCTCTTATAGAGATGCACAATATGACAGCCATTTGCTATGATCGAGTTACAATACACTTTTGAAAATGCCAAATTACCTTTGTCCCAACACAGTAGAAAGACAACAGGTGGAGACTTGTCAGCTCGCATTACAAAGCTCAGTGCGTGAGGTCAAACTAGGCAGGCTTCATCTTATCTTACAGAGCAAACAGATGTGACGATGCTAAAACTCTACAGGAGAATTATCAACACCGGATGAAACAAAATCAAAGAAAGAAATAGTTTCTTTCCAATAGAGAAGCAGAATGCATGAGAGAAACAAACCCCCCAAATGCACACGTACATTAAACATTTGTTCACCCTGTGTTGACATAGTGGCTTCATAACAAAGTATGATTCTAAGATATAATTAAACAATCTCAAGAATCAAACATAATGTTAAAATTGTGCGATTTCAAACAGAACTCCATGAATCATTGGAAGTCTGCTCAAACAAGCATCACTGGCCAATTCAACCACATGGACCCTCATAGGGTCTGTGCTCTGCTTTGACCGAGTGTTTACAAATGCACATTTCCAGATGTGGTGACAGGATCAGTTGGAAGAACTCCATCCAGCATCTTCCCTGCTTGGTCCCGAGACCGAAGTCAATTCTAGCTCCCTCACTCTGTCCTTACAGCAAGCAGAGACAAGCTAGGTGCGTGCGTTTAACATTGGCGAAGTTTAAATCTTACACAATTGTACGCAATCAAGACACAACTGACCTTCCTCAAATCCATCACGGAATGATCCAGAGCGACTCATTGTCCTGTGCTTCTCATCCAAAGACATGGAACTGTTCCGGAACCTGGAATCACTGTACGGATCATAAGGTCCTTCTTGAGTAGACACACTGTGACAGCGTAGCATGCTGGGGTTAGACAGGCTCATCTGGGTAGCTGTAGTTGGACTCGCTGTTTAACAAAAAGAAAAAGCACATTTGTAAGATCCAGCTACACTGAACTAAGATCTGTATTCCAACATAGGACTTTGTGTTCAGTTAATTCCCAAAATATAACTGGATGATTAGCTCACAAACACTACATCTCTTATTCCCCAAGATGTGTTCTTACTTGAAAAATGTGAACATTTTGTATATTTGGTATTTTTCCACAGCAGACAGTTTTGTGGATGTGAAGACTGCATCCTTTTGAAGTTAATAAAAAGTAATAAAAACTAATAGACATTAGGGAGAAATTGCACAATGATTTTTCCTTCCTCCTGAGTAACTCTTTCCTGCTTATTTCTTCTCTATCCTCCGAAAATCATAGAGGTTGGTGATGAACACAGCATTCGATTTGTTCTTAAAAGTCAAAAGTTCTGTAAAGTCAAGGGAATTGAGTCTCCATCTCAATGGGGTTGGAGGAGGGACAAGAGACTGATTTGGTAAACTGTTGGTGCTCAGTTATTGATCCTGAAATATTTAGTGGGGTTACCTGAAGTCAATAGGACAAACATTAGCGTAGTCGATTAGAATTCCAAACCTCACCTAGCTGAGAGAAATTGAATCTGGTTCCAGAGGGTGATGTGATACTGGAGCCTGGAGAAAATGGCGAATTGGCGACATTCTCTTGCAGGCCACCTGCAGAGTGTGAACGGAGCCACTCTTTTGCCTCTTCGTTACTGCGCAGTTGAGATGAAGGGGTATACCTGTGGAAACATCAATTATTGACGTTAATGGACACATCCAGGCATCTCTGTCATCCCACATTTCCCAACCGGTCCCTATCTTTAGTAATTAGTCTCACAAGTGATGCTTACAAGAGCAGTTGGAGGCACTATCAATGCCAACAAATGTCACTCGACATTCCAAGATTGCCTGTAGATTTGATTCACTCCAAGATAATATTTTGGACATTGCATTCCATTAACTGCAACATAGAAGGTACACAATTCTTATCTCTGTGGGATATAGAGCCTCTGCACATAGTTTGAACTCTGGAACTACCTTTTTTGTCCACAACTGATGACCTTCACAGAACGGTATGTAGGTGGGAAGCTGAACAATGATGAAATTGTATCTTGATTAATCTAGATCAGACTATCGTTCACATCCCAGCAAGCAGTAGGCAGTCTCAGCACAATCAAGATCTGTCTTTCTACCAAGTAACAAACAAGTGGAACCATTTCTCTGCAGAAGCTATAAGCCTTCCCCAGTGGTAAATACAGCTTATCATAAATCGATTGAAACTGGAAATGTGCTATTAGGTGCAGAAGCAAACATGCCATTTCAGGATTTCTGTGGCAATCAAACAATTCTGCAGGATTAGAATGTGTTCGATATGCACCAACAGCAAACAGGACCTAGAAGACCAGAAATTACTTTGATCAGCCAAACGCACAGCAATTTGCTCCACAAAACATTTGAGTGGGTAAATGGTTCAAATGACAGTGTTGTAATGAACAGAAAGTGAAACTAACAATTCGTGTGCACACCTCTGGCGAACAAAGGAATGTTTTAAGTTTCATGCACAATTGGATCAGGAATGGATTTACTTTTTCTTTCCCTTCCGTGTTCAAATTTGTCCCCTGAATTCACCAACACTTTCTGGTGTACTATTCACAGATGCAAGGCACGCACACTCCTGTACCTCACCCCCATGGCAAATTACTCGTGTTTGAGCTTCGGTGGTGAGTGCTAGTGTTGATGAACTGTTGGGGTGTCAAGAAAAGGCACTGAGCAGAGATCAAGCCCCTCTCCACTTCCCAGAAGTCAATTACAGAGCAGGGGCAGCGAGAACAATAACAATAACAGATTATATTTATAATAGCGCCCTTCACAAGGGGAGGAAGTCCCAAGGTGCTGGACAGTCGAGGGTTTGTACCCGAACAGGGGGTTGGATTCGGGAAGGCTGACTCCCAATTTCATGGATGGTAAAGAGGGAAAAGAAAAATATGATCTAATTGTATACTTGTGCTGAAATGCAACTGAACTGCTCAAGGGGAGTTCAATCTCCGAATGGGAAAAATGGCAAGGATTCTAAGTTCTAAAAGTTGATTTATTAATAGTCAAAGGGACAGGGTAGAGGAAAGAGGAAAGCAGAATATCAGGCACCGTATTGCAGATTTTGTTTCACAACTCACCCCAACAAAGACAGAGGGGTCATTAATATCCTACAGCTCATATACATTTACAAAGATGAAACAGATGGATTAGACTATACAAAGTAACCCAGTTTCCATGAACAGATGTTTGGCTGTGCAACATGTGTGCTTAATGAAAACAACGAAATAAAGGTAAGACTCATAGTGTGCACTTGTGCAGCTTAAAGGGCATTGTAAAGGTTTATTTAGTGGCCTTCATGCAAGTAGGATCTACTGGGGTGAGTGGGGGGGGAGGGGAGGGGGAGGGGAGATGACCGAAGGCACGTCAAACAGGGAAGGTGTGATCTGAAGACAGGCAAAGAGGGGACAAGATGGAGGAACTGAGGCAGGGAGTCAGGCATAGTGGCTGAAAGCATGGCCGCCAATGGTAGATTGGCAAAGGCACATTTTACACTGAATTGTCGAGCATATTGACAGCAGGCAACACGACAAAGTATTCTGATGTGCTAAACAGCTAACAACCTCGTAAAATTATTCAATATTGTGTTTTTTTCTATGTATTTTTTCTTTTTTTTAAAATCAACAGGACTCTTTGTAGTGTGTGACTCACTCACTGTTTAAAAATATTTACAGATCAACTTATTCATTTTGTCATATATATGTGTATTAACACATATTTAAAAATCTTGTAATGTTCACTGTTACAGCAATAGAGGAGTCTGTTCCACAGCTGAACTGTAGTATGTTTTCTATTACAGCAGACCTTGGATTGAAAAGAAAATGCTAATCAGGAGTAAAACTGGCTGTTAAAATACAGAAATACAAGTGTTCTCTAACCCCTGGTCATATCCAACAAATGAACATTTCCCTGTTGAACCTATGGGTAAAAATGTGCCAGAGTCATCAGAAAGCACAAACAGTCCCATAAAATACAAAACCCTGCCTTGTGGCTTACATTCGCAACAGCCAAAAGATTTCCTCACTCAATCTATTCCATGTCATGTTTCATAACTCTGTCGTCAATTATGTTGCTTAACTAGGCTTCACAAGTTCCACACAACCACACTACTGTACGACCACAATTATTAACCACTGGAAAAACATACATGCCCATTGAAGCCAGAGAGATGAGAATATGGTGTGGCATGGTGTCAAAGGAATGACAGCAGTGGGCTGTCAGATGGTTTCAGTGACTGTGGACATAAGGCGGTGGGAAGAGGAGAAGTTACCCAGGTATCGTACTCCAGAATACTTTTCTACAATGCCCAGTGTATGCCCATCGAGGTCAAACAGCCCATTACCATTGTGTGATGGTAAACTGAGATTTCACCTTGGTTTGTATTCCTTGGTAGATCCAATGGAGATATCCACATTTAACATTCCTTGGCATCACAGTTTTGGTGCAAACTAAGTGTTTATAAGACTTACCACTCCCTCCTCTCTTCCCCAACCACCTGATCCCTTTTTGCAATGTTCTTTACACAATGCATTTGATCTTTCTACAAAGTGTTTGATTCAGTCCACAGATCTCTTCGATACAAGAACATTCTGTATTGGCTCAAAGCTGAAACTGTATTGCAAACATCACTTTACCCTTTGCCTTCACTGGATTGTTTAATCACAGAGCAATTTGGGCCAAACCCAGAAGATGAGAGAGAGAAGAAAATGCCAGCGGTGCACTTGAACATTCTCTGGAAGCAGAAAGGGAGCCACGGACATCGGCCACAAAAGCACTGATACATGCTCACAAAACAAACACTGAGCAGAGGCTTCATTCAGCAGCTCAAAGCTATCCCAAACTTCATATTGAATGATAACGCGCAAAAAATATAATAGCAAAATGGTAAAACAAAGATATTGAGAAGCTTGCACAATGGAAAGATGCCACTAATAGCCATTGACACAGGTACAAAGTGCACAATGCCAGAGACATAAAAAGCAGGTGATCTATGCGGGAAGTACCAATACCTGAATCCCTTCTTAGGCAAGGTATTCCTATCAAGTTGTGTATCACTGTAGGAAAGTGAGAAAAAAAAGCTAAGAAACGAGGCAACACTTTCTTTTATTAAAAAAAAGGAACTATACGTGACGGGCGGAGACTGTTAACGTAAACCAAACACCCACCTCTTCTGCAGTGTTGTCTGTGAAAAACAGAATGGCATTTCCTCAAATAAATATCCTGACTGACGAACGAGCCCAATGACATTTTAGGAAAAGAAATTATTAAACTTTTTTTTTTGCCAATTTGAAAATGAGAAACATAACCTGTTCATAGAAATGTAACTTCTCACCCCAGCCAAAGGAGCAAATCTATATTATGTCAGATACATCGCAAAGAGGTCACAAAATAAAACGCAGAAGACCTGGTATCATCACCTGGCATCTACTGTTGGCTTGAATATATTTTTTTCAAAACTGTTTTCATCAAAAAACAACAAAGCGCATAAAAAGATTTTGGCAATTGTCACTTATGTAAAGGGAATGGAATAAAAGAACTAATCAACGACAATACAGAAGTTTGTTGTAAAAACTCCTTGCTTTGTCCACCCCACGTGTGACGTGGTGCTAAAGATATTAAGTTTCACTTTCATCTATTCTGTAAAAGAAGGATTATTTAGTGTACAAATGAAAGATGTAAACGTAGCTAGGAATGACAAACTTTGAGAAGCATTGCTGCAAACATCAGATAAGATGGTTTTCAGCAACTCAAGCCATCAGTTGCATTTTGCTCATTTCATTTTCCCCTTAAATTGGTAACTCTGTGCTCAGAAGTGTTGATCTCTACTGCAGAATAGATTATGCAAGTGCACAGAGGGTGAGAAATTCTTCGCGTCACAAAGTGTGGTGACTTTGACAATATGCAACAGTGACATTCAGACCATGTCAGCACACTTCAAAGTCGCGACTTAGCAGTATGAGGAATTTCTCACCCTTGCTTTCTAAAGCACTTCAGATCAGAGGTATTGGGCGTCACAACAACCATAAAAAGACTAAGGATCAAAGTTGAAAGAGAACTTGAACAAAAGTTTTTTAAAAAAACTTTTAAGAATTTTTAAAAAAAAATAACCTCACTATCAGCAATTGGAGATTGCTAAATTACACTGAAACGTGTGTTAACATTTAAATTTTAAATAGTGCAGGAAACTGTAAGCTGTGCTGAGCAGTCAAACCAATTGTACTCAATAAATGTCGGCATATAGTAGTTTGAACACCTATTAATACACAAAACGGCTAACAATTCAAATGCATCCCAAATCCCAAATTCAAAGCAATTGATTTATATTGATATTACATTAGACCATTTAAAATCTTTGCATGGTCCGCCGTGCACATACGGTTAATTAACACTTAAGCAGAGCACCACGAACAAAAGCCCGCAACCAGACAGAAAGCTCGTGGCCAGCACTGCACAACGATTCAGAACTGTGCAACATGTACTCTGAAGCGTGGAGAGAAACACTGGCAATGCCATGGGAAAACAATTCAGACAGAGGAATGCTAGTGTGATTGTGTATTTATACATGATTAGGTCATTGGCAATTTCCATCATTTTGTAAATAATGGTTTAATTTCACCAAGAATGCTGTTTCTCAGTCACTCTGTTGAGATTACACACCCACACGCAATGTGATCAGATCCCCCTTTTCCGTTTAATTAACAAGACCAAAGTCAAGTATTTGCTGTGAAATGCTTTGAGACGTCTCAAAGACGTGATAAGATGCTATATCAATGCAAGTATTATTATTATTATTGTGTTGAACTCGCTATAATTAAGTTAGTGCCTGTTTATTAATGCTCTGACTTTCCTCTCTGTAGGTTTATTGCTATTTAAGGACACTGGACAATGACAACTACAAAGCCCCCAATGACAATGGGGCTTTTTATTCAACAATTCTAGGGGGAAAGTTTTGCTCATCAAATATCGAGTTCAATCATGCCACTGGGTAGAACTGTATCACACAAACATATTTGCGTCATTCGCTCATCAATACAGGTCTTCTCCCTTCCTCATCACAAACCAGGAGGTGATTCTGGAGCATTTCAACAACTAATGGGAAATTACGTCCCTGAAAGACGAACATGGTGGAGGAATCTTTTGAACCATTACGTTTTTTTCTAAGCTTTCAACATATGTTTTTATTTCTGAATTAAATGAACGGATGTGTCCGAAAACCAAAATATTTCATTGGTAACAATTACTGTTCGGCTAATAATATATTGCAGGCTGTGTTTAAATTCTCACGAGCAAATACTACTGTGAGATGAGATAGGCAAAAGGCTTGGATGTCACTGAACCATGCAACAAGGATCATCTGCGACTAACACTACTTTGAGTGATGAGAGGGTAGAATGGAACATGCCACATTAACTTTCAGTCAGACTGTTGCTAAAATGACAGCTTTTAAAAGGGTGAAGAGTAGCACTAGTTCAGTTTTCCTTTCACAAGGGTCTGGTCGCAAATACTCCTGGAACACGGTAATGCTTTTTCATAATAATGTTAGGCATTTTCCTAATAAAAACATTCAGCATACATTTGACTTATGATTATAGAATGTATTACCAAAATCTTTTTTGAACCAACTAGAAAGCTTGTGAGGTTTATTTCCCTCCCTCACCCATCAATTACCACATCATCTTCTCTCTTACTCAAATTGTCACTCTATGTGCGAGAGAACAGTTAAAGTGTTATTACAGTTAAATGTTAATTTTCCGTTTTCAGCTTTTGGAAGCCTCACATTAGACAGTACAGTATCCAGTGTTTGTTAGCGAGCATTTATTAAAATCCCAGATGATCCTTGAAAGCAAGGGGCTTAGCGTAATTATCCAATTCAGACTAAGCATTACCTGTCTTGTTTCCTTGGTAATGTATTTCTGTTGAATGTGGGACTAGCAGTGGGGGAAGAGAGAGGGCTATGGGATGGAATCAAACAGTACAAGGAGAAACAGAGAAGAGAAACAGATTAACACTCAGGAAGGAAAGGAATGAGAAGACATGGATGTTCACAGGTCTGAAGTAATACATCTATCACCTACTGTAAAATAGCAACATCGGCTTCAAATTCTCAACCCTAACACAACGTTGGTGCCACAAAGCAAAAGATTACCAGTAGAAGTCATTGGTTTTGCACTGTTTATAGGCAGAATGTACACTCCGAAATAATAAAATATCAGACTATCATGAAAAGACACAAACTAGTTTGCAAGCAAGAGGAGCGCTCAGAATATCATTCCTGTAATCTCCCCGACTTCAAGCATGAGAAGAGGTTTAGAGACAACTTACAGAAGAAAACAGAGATATGAAGCAAGAGATATAGATGTACAACAATTGGATCAGAGCTGTGAACAACAAGCCTGCCTAACAGACAATTACATCAAATACACTTGTATGCACACAGATCTCAATTTGGTACCTGTAAATCATCAAATCCCTGCCTAATAATAACAATAAATTAGAAGGCTGATTAAGATAAGAATAGTGAATCCATGTACTTTTCAGTACACAAGTAAATAGAATTGAATTCCTACCTCTCTGACATAGCTGTCTTAATGCTGTTCGTCCTCACGAAAGGAGTAAGGGAATCATCTTTGGAGGAAGGAAGCAAGCCACTGGTGGAGTTGTGGTGGCTGTGACCACCTCCACTGCTCAGGGAGATGTCAATCGATTCACAGCTGGTGTGGAGACTGCTCACTGACTGGTAACCTGTGCCGTCCTTGCTGATGGTGGAGGAGCTACTGTGGCTGGTGCCCCATGGTGTTCCGTTTGAGATGGTAGAATGGACAGAGGCCGGACTGGAGGCCAAGGGTGACTGGGTCATGTCCGTCGCCTTGTTGTAGAGCGGGCTGCTGCCACCGCTGCCGAGACACGATGGAGGAGAATCCAGACTGCTCTGCTGGCTCATGGTGGCGTGGGGATTGGAGATAATGGTGGAATTCTTCATGTTTTCCGCTGTTGTGACAGGAGCTTGCTTAGTGCTCGGCTTGACCCCGAACAATCTGCTTAAAAGGAGGCAAAAACTTACAAGTGGCATCTTATAATCTGGCAACAGTAATCTATTGTTCTTCTGCGATAAACACCTGGAGGCACGGATAAAACACTCAATTTACAATAACGCACAGCTGAGCAACCCCAATTTACAATTTGACACTTTTCCAAACCAGCCTCTTGTTGAAATGATTGAATACTTTCTCGAGGACTTGCTAGTTCTGCCTGACGTCTAGACAGAACATAATACCTGATCCTTACTACCCAGTATTATTTTAAAGAAGTGGTGAGTGATAGATGTACTGAAAGACTTTTCGTCAGGAAAATTCAACTCAGGCAATGCTAAGGTACAGCCATTGAACTGAACTGAAAATGTAAGAAAAGCTCAAAATTTCTGTTTGATGCAAACCTCAGAACCTTTTCTTTCCGTTTATTTGAACAATCAGATGAAACAAACAGCAGGTTGCTCTCTCTGTCACTCCAAACCCCTCTGTATTGAATATCCCACCAGCAATCTTTTAAATAGATAGGCCATTGCTATAAAAAATCTTAATGAGCCTTTATATCCTGTTACCAATTACCAGCTCAGAACCAAGAGGACCTCACTTCCGCTTCCCCCCGCACCTACAAGGAGGATAATCATTAGTTAATCAGCACCACTTTCATTTCGCGTGCACGTACCTGCGTAATGTAGGTGAGGCGATGTCAGGGTATTTGGATCCCTGCTGGCGAGAGCTCTGAGTGCCGTTGGTTCCAACCTGCAGTGGGTTTGCTTTGATCGAGCCAGAAGAAGCCACGCTATCGGTGTCAGAGGAGACCCCCTTTTCCTTATCAGTCTGGTTGGGTAATGTAGGCACTGAGTTGCCTGAGCCCACCTTAGACGGCTCTCTCAGTTTAGAGACTGGAAGACCTGCTGACTTACTGCTAATGTTTGAGTCGATGCTGCTCGTGCTAGATCTATTCCCAGTCCCACGCCCGTTTGATTTACTGGGCCGAGGCAGGCTCCGGTACTGCAGGTTGGTGCGTGCGTTTAAGGTCAGGTAATTCTCCTCGGTGCTCTGGGAACCATCGACACTGGCCTTCCTACCTGATGATCTGCCGATGAGGCCTCCCGACTTGGGGATTTTACCAAGAGTTGCAGACCCACTCGTAATGGTGGCTCCACTGGCTGTGATCATGGTGATTCCTCCTGAGGAACCTCCGTGCTTCTTGAACCCAAATGTGTTTGTCCCTCCAGTCACCCTCGAAGCACAAGAGGGAGGTTTCTTCCCCTCGTCCCCGCTGCTCCGCCCGGCGTCTGACGGAGACCGTTGCACATTTGCGGATTTCGGAGACGGTCTCCCCTTTTCGGACACCTTCGCATCATCAGTTTTCGCTGCAAAAAAAGATATACATACAATAATCTGGGCATAACAGACCATCCACTTTATACAAATTCAGTTCAGTAAAAAAACAACACAACATTGACAAATAAGCAGCTTGAGATAAGTTCAACATTTCAGAATCAAAACATTTTCATGTTTTCATACAAACAAGCACGCCTGAAGAACATGGTAACTGTTCCAAACTCTGCAACCTCACATTTAATCAGGTTCGGCAATAACACTGAGTTTTCATTGGCATAGGAAAAGGGGATCAATTCATTCACTGTTACAGAGCAGTAAAAGTTCAACCAGTAACAATATTCATTGGAAGTTTGTGCTTTCAAAATAGATGACTCTGAAGCACGTTTCTACAGTAGAGCACCCTACAGCATGGTTTATGTAAATAAGACTTGTGGATCTAGAGATGTCTTACGTTCCTGAGTTTTAAAACTCTTGTCCTGTGTGTATATAAAAGAGTGTAATTTAAAATATAGATTTTGGCAAACAGGTTGGTAAGGACACAGATTTCCAGCATCTGCAGTTTTCCCTTTTATCACCACATCAGGTAGGGTTGAGTGAATAGGCTTCAACTGGTTTGATCTAAACTGAAACAAGTTAAATTAATGGAATACATTTCTAACACAAAAAAAATCAATCCTTTCCCTGGCTGACGACCAAGGTTAAAAGCATGATCCTGTTCCAAGTTTGCCTCTGGAAAATTTGAATGAATGACAAATCAGATTGAACCAGCCTGACCATGTTCACACACGTTTGTAATCCACAGTTTTCCAGGCCAGTTTCCAATTATCAATAGGAATTTAGGTACTTAATTTAACTGAGATATCTCAGTAAAGTACCACAGAATGGTAACCTACTTACATTGGCAATGACACTATCAAAATGCATCAGCAAGAATAAAGCACAACATATTCACCTTAAAAGTTCTGCACCACATTTCACATGTGTATTTCTGTGAAATGTACACTGTGAAGTGTACACATCAAATATGATTTAGTTCTACTGAATGCAACCTCAGCTACAAAATAAAAACATGTTCTCCTTAGGTGTGCACATGTATATGGAGGTGGCATTCTGTGCTTTATATTTTTAAATCCTCCTGATAGCATTTCCTCCATACCTGTCCCAGGTAGAATACCCAGTGTCATGAGATTAATGTTGGCACCATCTGAAATTTCAACTGGCTCCAGACTCCTAGTAGAGTATTCCTGAATCGGTTCCAATTCTCTAAATATTATCTCTAAAGTTAAAAGCCTCTTCAGTTGAGAGTCAAAGTTGTAAAGTGGCCTTCTAACCAATCTCCTTTGACACCTTTCTACTTAGAAGTCCAAGGAATAAAGGAAATTTTGTGATTGATAGCACAAACCACCAGCTCCGATTCTCCACTCCAGTTACTTCGGCAAATGGGCAGACGGCACACGGGAAAATAGTCAATGAAACAGTAAATACAATTGGCTCCAAACAGAGCTCAATTGTGAATGCTACACTTCATCAAGCTGATAAATGCATTGGCTCCAACCTTGGGTATTGTATATTCACCACACACTAAATCACTGTCACTGACTTCCCAGTCACAGTGATTCTTGTTGAGAGATTGACAAGATGTCACCCAAAATTATCATAATCCTTCCTCAATTCATCCATGCTGACAGCGCTGCACTTTGTAGGTAAATTTATCCTGATAATTATACGTAAACGTGAAGATTCAGGTTTCTGAATTGTCTGAAAATGCAATGAGAGAACCACTTGCTGTCAGATCACAAACATTATGGTTTCAGCTGGAGGGAAACTGCTTCAAAGAAACCAGGCACAGCGTTTTTTTTTAAGTCAAACGTCATACATTTGATACTAATGGCAGTGTTTATATGCTTGCCCCTCGTAGAAAAATACAAACCTCTTTTATATTTTGTTTCGAAAGAAAATACAATCAGTTACGCAGCCTTACCATGTGTTTTTAGCGTGTTTGATGTTTTAGGCCTGGGTGTGGTGATGCCAACCTGCGCAGTCATCCCTCTTCGCCAAGATCCGGTCTGGGAAATGACTGTAGTTTTCTTTGCTGAACTGCTTTTATCTGACTCATCAGACATGTCTGATGGATTTCGTCTCCACTTGGAACTCGAATCCATCCTCACTCCACTGTCTGATCCACCGTCCGACCTTTTCACTTCTTCACCGGGCCAAGGAGTGTTCTTCTCCGTATGTTTCTCTGCATCTGTCTGAGACTGGAACAGAACGGGAAAGAGAGTCAGCAAATCTCCGAGTCGTTCAAATATCTGGGCCATTTTTGCTCAATAAAACACACAAGTGAACAAAGCAACCGTGTAAAATAACATCAACGGCAAACAAAATATTGAAGGATAAATCAGTGCCTGAAAGAGAAAATAGGTCAACGTTCCAGGATTGACTGTTTCTCTGTGAGTATTTGCTGGAAAATACTTTTGAGGGGCATCACCCTAGAAATGTCCAGTATATCAACAGTTGATATCTCCCAGTTTCCCCGCTATGATTCATGATTTTGCATCAATCCAAATGGTTCATTTTGTGACAGTAAAATATAGTAAATTTGCAAGCAACCATCAAATTCCTCTGTGAAAGCTCCTGCTCCTCTTTCTTCCTCCTCCTCTCAGTATTTCTCATGTCAGGAAGCTCGTATGTCACGCTGAAGTACAATAACATAGGTGATGATGGTGGTTCCTCCTGTAAATTATCTGAACTGCTAACCCTGAGGTGCGAATCTGAACAGTGAGCATCTGTAAGTCCAAGTGGGAATTTGCTCCAATTTCCACCCCCCTCCAACCCACACTCAACAAAGCTACAACGTATGACATCGCTTCCCTCCGCTGCCTGCCAGCTGAGATCAGTGAACACAGAATTCCCTTGTGTTTAACATGAAAAAGTAGGTGGCATTTGATTTTGCAATTGTTGCGGAACACAAATTACCGAATAGCTCTGAACTGATCCAGTTGAGGATTTTATCCGGTACAAACAATAGCCTTGTGTGCAATAACTGATATACATTTACAATATCTGCAGTTGTAGGCTTGACTCATTGTTTGATCACAATCATTATCTCACATTAAAATCTTTTCAGAAATGATTTTGATGCTGACAAAATTTGTATGTTGAAACTGCACACACAAACACACACACACCTTGACATACACAGACTCCCTAAAATACACAAAGAGCCCTAACACACACACACAGTCAAACTGACCACCCCCCCTCCCCCCCCACACACATACAGACACTCACAGAACTGTATGTGATATCCTAAAGAAAATGAATCCAAAGGAGTTCAATAACTGCAACTGTATTCTTAAAGTAAATAAATCCCTCAATCATGATATTGTTGTGAAAGCAATTTGACATCAAATTAAAGCTGAGACGCTAAAAGTTATACTCATTAATGATGGCTAGTTTCAAGCTTTTCATTAATAGGTAAATTAATGGAAACAGAAAGACATGGGCAGACCTTCCCTCAGGCAGATGCAAATAAGCATTAACCTTTAAATTATAATTATCCTATTGCACTATAGCATATAAATAATGGAATCCAGCATGTAATGACAGATATAAACGTATTACCACTATTATCAAGTAAATTAACTATATACCCTTGTTCCAAATGGTGATATGAAGCTTCCAACAGATTACGTGTTAGAAACCAAATTGTAGAGACTATATTGTTTTAACCTATCAATGTAAATCAAAACTTTTATTCTGCTTTAAACAAATACCAGTTAAGATTTGTAATGAAAAGGCTATATGAAACATAACCCTCAAGACTAGGTTTTAATGATTTTATATGTCAATATTGGACAAAAAGTGCAGTTTTTAAGATTCTATCCCCAAGTAATATTCAGAGCAATCCCATTATAGTTCAGTCATCTGGCTCCAATATCACCAATTTTTTTTAAACGTAGGAAGCTGACAAGTCATTCCTGCAAAGCAGGTGTATAATGTTTCCAATGCAACAGTGAAGCAGGCAATACCAGGTGTGTGTTACAATGGAGTTGCTCTGTATCTAGTATTTGTGGACATAATGGCATTTGGAAGTAATCAAAACAAATGCATGCACCATCACATGAAATCTCGTGATGTGTGCAAATCCTAACTATAACCGACTGGTCTTTCCAGTGAGCTCTTATGTAAACAGAAGCAGCAGCAGTGCCAGAAATGTGAAGTTCAGTGAACTCCAGAAGACAGCAAGAGACCAGATAGGTAAGACCAGACACTCTTGAGACCACCGTGGGATCAAACCCACAATCAGCAATATCCATGGTGAAAATTGGTCACCTTGTCCGATGGGTACACTGGCTTTTGGAGACCAAGATATAGAATTGTGGGAGTGCGGGAGGGAGAGTGGCGGGGGATACAATCTTGTTGGGACAATTTTACTGGTGCAATAAACGTTTACGCACTTCAGACAAATATCTGTATCGTCTACTGGATGTATTGTACAGTAATGGGATGATGTGGACGTGTTTCACTGCACAATGGACTCAGACGCATAACTCAGCCAGACTAGCCCCTGGAACGTAAGACCTCTTTCATTCCAGTCTTGGCTGGTTTGGGAAGTTTGTACTGTACACACAGGGAGCCTGAGCTGAGCTGAAATTGGAACTGTTCTTGTCACTGTTGAGGTATGAGAATCTTTTGAGTTCCAAACGCAAGGAAAGGAATTCCCCCAATTATAAGTGGAAAACATTTACTGTGTAATTAGGATCATTTAATTAAAACGTTGAGGATTTTCCAAACCACAGAGTTTGAGATTATAAAATGCTCAAATGTCAGGCACTATTCATTTTAATCTTTTAATCTAATACTAAGCAGTAGTATTTAGCACTTAAAACAATTGTCAAATATTTTTCCCATTCTAAGATCATGAAACTGACCTGACTGATGAGATGTTGCCAATTGTTTCATAAAGATATAATTTAAAGATAGTATTGCCAATAGTTCCAATTGTTGCCAATAATTTTGTGAAGATATCATGCAGCATCCTTTCATCATTTTCATAATAGCCTTAGATATTGATTACAGTCTACATTACAAGGAGAAGGAATGAACAAGGAATTATATGAAAGGGAACAGTAAAGAAAAATGTTTCAATATGAAGTGCTAATCTGAAAGATGCTTCAATAGCACTCAGCAGCAAAAGGCAAGGTTACAACAACAACGTGCATTTACATAGCACCTTTCACGCGGGGTAACGTCCCAGAGCGCTTACAGCCAGTATACACCCATCCCCTGGAAAAAGGCGACATCCTAAAATCCTAGCCGAAGCATACAGCTTGTTGTTGTTTGAACGTTTACGACTAAAAACTGAAAACTTACCAATTGAGGTTTTTTTCTAAATATTCAAAGAATGGATGTTTTGTGTCAGAAGTTGGCTCTTTTCCCTCTGGGGCACTATAAATGTATTCACAGGATTTATCGCTCACTTGTGTGAACATGAATCAAATGGAAAAACCTGAAGTGCAATGAGATGGATTCCTACTTAAACAGGGTTTGTTATTTACCTGGTTATCGGGGTTCCTGCGAGAGGTAGCTGGCGTGTTGGCGTACGAGCTAATGGAGGAGCTGGTGTTGATATCATCCGTGCTGAGGTTGTCTATCGTATCACTGATGCCACTGCTAACAGAGCTGCTATCATCCCAGCTACAAGAGAGGAAAACAAAAGATATAGTGTTCGGACACAAATACACCGCAATCAGTTTGGAACGAAACCTACACCGCATAGTCATCATATTTTAGCATTTCACAGGAATCCTTGATCCCACAGCGAGCAGTAGAGCAATGCCAGGAAATGACAAATCTAAGATAACACAATGAGATCCAGTCAATCAGCCCTCGATAGAGAACATTTTTTATCTACCTCACCTCGCGGTTCTTCAAACAAAGGCCATTTATTCGAAGTGGTTCTCGCCTTTTAAGAGAGTTAGATTTATACATCGTCCAAAATTGATTTATTCCAAAGAAGGAATGTTATCAATGACCCGCAGCACACAGCTCTGTGTAGACCTTCCTGGACAGTGTCCCACAAATGTACTGTGGTGAAACCAAGGCTGTACGTACCATGAGAAACATATTCCTGAATCCAGTCCAAATTGTGTTAAAATTGGAAATAACATTCAGTATTCAGTACCCTGACCCACAAATACAGAGTGCAGCGGAGGGAATGGATTTTCCCACTCCCCAGGCTCGATCAGATTACTGTATGCAGGTGTGCAGTGGAGGCCTGTCACCTTCGCACATAAAGGAGGGGGCGATCAGAGGAGAGTCATTTCCAAGCCACTTTCGTGCTCAACGCAAGAGCAGCTTAGGCAGGGGAGATATAAGAGGAAATGAAGGTTCTTCGACTTTGAATGGTCCTGGAGGATCAGAAAATAGTTTTATTTCTATTATTTGTTTTCCATCTGCTTGTTCGGGCTGGGCTATAATGCCTCTTCCCCTCCCCCGCGGTTGAATAGCCTGGAGAGACTCACTGTCAAGATTCACACACGAACATCAGACATTTCAGCGATATACTGGAGAGTGCTCAGAATCTGTCGGGCCATGTCCCAGTATAATTAAAAATGCCTTCATCAATGCAGGGCAGAAAATTGGGGTAACCAAAAAACCTAAAAGGAGGAAACTCGAATCAACCTTCCAATTTAGAAACTGAAGACCTCACCCTGGCAAACTTAATGTACGATTCAAAGTGATTGAAGTGAATCATCTGCACAGGGAGTGATTTTGATAATTACCAGCAGTATCTTTGAAAACTGTAGTACACAACTGCATTTTTACTCTGCAATAGGAACTGAACAAAACAACGTAACAAAGAAAGGGTTACTCTCAGAACTCAAGAGCTTTGTTCCTGATTTTGATTAGCCAAATGAACCATGTTTGCTCTTTCAGTGCCCAAAGGGACTGATACAGGGGTAGTGCTCAAAAATATAACCTTTGAATTAACTTGCTTGACTCTTTCCTGGAAAAGAATTTATGCGCCTATAGGATAACATACAATACAACTGAACCCCTTCCACTTACAGGGAGGTACTGTTTCACCAGAGGGAGAAAATAAATCAAATTTGTTCCAATGACAGGTTTGGGTTAGGATCTTACAGCCTTCCCCAATGCAATAAATTGTGCCCTCTGATGGCTTGCTGGTTCCAAAGAACAGACAATATACTTGTATTCTTCCTGCTCTAGATTTTCACCTTTTTCCCTCATATTTACAAGTCCACATTTTGAAATGTAGCTGAAGTATGAACCACAGAAGAAATAAACGACCTGCTGCTGAATTAGTGTTTTGTAGTATTTCAAACGTTGCAAGCTGGGTACAGAACTCCAGACCCGTAAATCATCATTTCACTTTTGGCCAACGCTGATCGAATGAAAGAACGGTTTGAAGTAGTCAGCTGATTTATTTATACAGACAGTTCGCAGCAAAATAACCTTTGCAAAGCCATTAAATTGTTCCAGTAAATTAACATTTATTTCTCTTTCTAATCCATTTCTACACAAAACATCTTGTGTGCAGATAATCATTGTTCGTTGTCAATATGTATGTAGCCTGCACAATACAAGAAGTTGCACAAAAAGCTTTCCTTTTCTTTAAACTTCTGCATCGATTGATTTACTCTGACACCTTGGTTAAATTATTACAGGGAATAAACTCACTGTTAAAAGATTCTGACCACTAAATTGGAGATCGGGGAGCATTCCTCAATGCTCAATACTAGTCAATACTCGGAATTTCAACACTTAAAAAAAACTAGAAGATGGAATGAACAGAGGTGCAGCATTTGAAACAAATATGATCACGAGAAGTACATCACACTTCCTCTAAAGTTTTTTGTTTTTTTTAATTGGGTGATAAATCTAAAAGCGGAAGCCAACACAGGAGTAATACGTAAAGGAATTTAAGAAGAAAAAAAGATTAGAGTGTTTCTGACCCTTCAGTGATAAATCTTTAGCTGAAAACAATCTATGCATTTGGCCGGAGGTTCTTGTGATTGTGCAGGCATGCCTCTCCCCTCTTGCAGGAAGGAGATAGCATAGCCTTCACTCAGCTACTCCCCTCGATGCAGTTCAGACTAGCAACTGAGCAGAGCATGTATTAAACCTACACTGCCCCTCATTCCTTTGGTCCGAGCATTAGTTTAGCAACGCTCCTCTTCACCGATCCCTTGGAAAGCAAAAATATTTTGAAAGTTTCTTTCTATCATCAATTAATGCTCTCCTTTGCTTCCTTTCAGAACACCCAAACTGGGTTGAGTTTCATAGATGCTGACAGGCACCTGACCTCACTCAAGTGGCCAATCTTCAAGTAGGAGCCTATACGGTGACCCTTTTGACACTTGTTTGCAGGGCAATCAATGTTGAGCCTAATCCTCTCCTCGCCGCAGTCCGTACACACACTTTCCAAAGGAAGGTCTAATAGACGCTCAATAGTTCAATCAAGAGCAATGATCTTGGCTAATATTTCCGGATCTTAGTCTGAAGAACAATGAAACCACCATTGCCCACTATCCTGTCATGAAATAACAGATTTCATGACAAAGATTGAAGTTCCTGGTCTGTGTGACTCAATATCCCTTTGTATTTATCCAGTGCATCATTGAAGGAACCCCAATGGATATTTTTGCCATTTCAGTGACTCATTGTGACCGACACTTGGAGAACAATGAATACTTGGTAGTACGGTACCTACATAGGTCCTTCGTGTCAACCGTGCTACATGTGAGTAGGGCTAAGTGACTCACTCTCAGATTTTCCTGCACAAAACATCTCCCCATACCAACAAGACTGAGATGAGATGGGCAAAGAACATTCCTGCTCATGAAATTTGCACAGAACAGAAATAACTAATAGAGCCGAAGAAAAACAACACAGATACAAACTGGTCCCTGGGAGTAAACAGTTTGGAACAGATTTTTATATAAGTTAAATTGCCTACTTTTTTATTATTATAGCAACTGAACAATTATTTAAAACTCTAGCAAGATCAAATACAGACTCAGCAAAGCTCTAAAGATACCCATTCACATGAGAAAGAAGATAATATATATATATATACACACACATATTTATATATAAATATATAGCGTGACTTTGGGGAAATAACACATATTGTAAGAGAACAGGTTTTGTGAAGAGTATACCTTCAATGTGAGCATTTTAAGCTACGTCTAGAGAGACACACAGCCTCGAGCACTCCAACTTCCATTTCATGTGCTCACTAATCCCACCCAGCCTTGTCGAGTTTCTTTTTCTTGTGGAAATTCAGTTCCGATTTGGCTATAGGCAGAGCTGAACCTCAACTGCCCACTTTTCACTGAGATTTCCTTTTGTACTACTAAACCTTGTGAATGTTGTGCTTATCCAAGTGCCTGAAGGCTGCACTGAAACCTGGACCCTTGAAGTCAAATGCAGCAGACAGCGATGAGTCACGTACTTCTTAAAAGAAAACTTTTCAACATGACATCATGGTTGTTAGAAATCGGCAATTAAAACACCATCAAATGCTTTGCAGGGGCTGTGTAAACAGTATCACAGCAACAAGGGGTGAAAGGGTAAAGTACACAGCAAATCAATTATCAACATAACACAGTATGCACTTCTGTATGTTTTTAAAAACGGTTAAAAAAATATTGCTCACTTTAAAAGAGGGACTCTTGCTACCAGGACTCAATAAAAATAGGTCTTACCAATAAGTCTGCAGTTATATATCCCAGTGATACAAAGGGAAGAGAAGAAAGGTGTCCACTATACCAAGTTGGGTTGGAAAGCTGCTGTGTGGGCAGTAGTAAATAAGTCTCAGCGTTCACAACACAAATGTTAATTTACAGGTTGCGAATCTCTCCAAAAACCTAACCATCTGTCTAATTTGTTGATATGGCTGGTCTCAAAATCTCTCACATCCTGTGAGGGACATGGACAAATTCCTGAGAGCACAGCAGCTCAGTGCATGAATGACTCCAAGAATCTGTACGTAACAAAAAGGCAACAGCACACACACACTTCAAAAGAGTTTCAACGAAGTCCTCTCTATCAACTATATCGGGGCTGATTCCAATGTCAGAAAACAGCATTGTGGCCATTGAATGTTTCTGTCATCCCCCAAAGCTGTGAGTTTCTCAATTTTGAGAGACTTCGCAAGGATATATTAAAATCAATCGACAGCTATTTTTATTTTTTTTACCAAATCAAGTGTTGTGGAAACGTTGACCGCATTGAAAACAGAAACTCGTTTGACCCACAAGAAACTTTTGAATACCTTTACATGGAGAAGAGTCTGAGGTTAAAATAAAGAGGGGGAAGCAGCACCCTGCCTTGGGGATTACATTTTCTCACAGCTTGTCCCATTGCCTGTAACCTGAGCTCATATTAAACCCTCTGGACAAAAGGGATATCGATGTGCTGCAGCATGGCTGGCTCTTACAACTGCATCTACAACAATAAAATCTGCATCAAAAAACAGGACATCATGCCTTACCTGCTCATATTACTGCTGCCGCCATCCTTGAAGTCAGTCATACAAAGACTATTTACAACAAAATATGGATCAGATCAGACGATCCTCATCATAACGAGAAGCTACAACATCTGGTGGAACTTGTTTCTGGCAAGAGACCAAAGGCCAGCAGGGTTGACACAAACCAGTGGGATTT